TGAAGTTAATACACCTCTCACATTCAGCACTCAACAAACAGCTCTCCCGGTCTTTCACAAGTACAGCAACTAGTGAGATCCGTTCATTGAATTCTATCCCCGATAAAATTCTAGTGGGGGAGTATTGTGGCGTAACTACTACTACGAATATTAAAAACATCAATTCACTGGTATATAAGACATGCTAACTTGATTCAATCACGAGGTACCTTCTGATAGATGAAGGTTGGCATGGTCGATAACTCCGCCCCCACTCTTAAATATGCCAGTCAAGAATACATACTTGAGAATAACACGAAATATGAATTGTAATACATACTTTGGTTTTAATGCCAATCCACATGTCTTCTGTGTAATTTCTCAGTATATATTCAATGAACAGATTAACTGAAAAGTCATTGATAGTCACCAAATGACCATTATGTGTCTCAATGCAGTAATCTTCAGCTTCCTGCCATGGCAGTTTCTTTTCAATTACATGATAGCATGACGTTCTCAATCTCCAGCCTCCAATCCGGGGAGGGCAAAATCTAGCATCTGTATATCTTCTGGCTTGTTTTTCTAAATGAAAATAATAAATTGACAACTTTCTAGTCTTTCTTAAAAGCTGTAAAACTGCATTTCTTAACAAATTTTGATATTTATTGTCTTATAATAAACCTCAATGTTTTTAATACGCGTTTTTGACTTATGTATAACTCCGATTCTTTGAATTTTTAAATCCAAATTGTAACACATAACCTTAGATGTAGAGACTATGTAAACAAAATGTGGAGCAGCGCCGTCTGTAACCTTTGAATGCGCATGCGCTCAATGAACGAGGATGAACAGAATGTAACCATGTGATGATGAGAAAATATCTCATCATCATAACTAAAAATAAAGTTGTTTCTTTTTGTTCATCGAATCATTCAATCAACATCCATCGAATTGAAAACAAAAGGAAACTTTTTGTTCGAAACTATTATACAATTGATTTACATGGTTAGAAATTGAGATGTCCAATCAACGACTCTAAAGTAAATGAGCCTTATCAATCCTCGTCAGTTCATAAGTTATCTGCGTGTTCTGTTCGGTATTGTAACACTGTATTTTATTTTTACTAGTTAAGCTATACAGAAAGATGTCTCATTGCTATTATAAATCAGTTAATGGTAAATTGATGTAAGGTTCAAGTTCAGGTAGTTTTGGTGAAGTTAATTTGGACATTTCTTTATACCAGAAACCCTTTATACAGTACACCCAATGAAAATTGAACTTCAAACCACAATATAGCTAGCTAAATTGTTAGCTAAAGTTTAATCCACATCATATTATCCAACAATGGTGAAACACCTAGCTCCGTTTCATAGGGTTAGATATTCCTTTAATGGTCAACCAGGAATGTCACATAATTTTAAACCGGTCAGAAGTTATGAACAGCGTTTAAACCCTTACCCTTCTCTTCAAATTTCCACATCACAACCAACTAAGGCTCCTCTAATTCAGGGGCTCTACAACCAACGAGAGGGTTTTCAGTCTGCAACAGATTTAACGTGTACCTTGCAAAAGTTCTAAAAAATTCCGATTGACATTAGTGATTAGAAAATCAGTACAACAAACAGACGACGCAAACGATAATTTTAAAACTCTATTTATTTATTTGTTTTGACTGAGATTTTGTTTGAAGAGGTGTTGCAACCGGATACAGAAATTTCTAAAATATAGTTGTTGTTAAAAAAGGTATACTACCCCCAACAGGAAAGTAAATTACGAAATTATAATGAGACCACTGAACAAGCTACAAAATCCGTATAACAATTCTACATACATATGCTACAAAATCTGTGTTAGGTCAGTATTGATACAGACGTGCATTAAGCCAGATTTCCAAAAGAGAGTAGCTCCAGTTTTTGACAAATCGCGGTGTTCGGCTTCCTTAGAATTTTTTGTTGACAGTTTTGCTGTTTCGATCTGTATGTAACACATATGGGGGTTAATTTTAATCAAAAAAATTTCAGCAAAGATTGTCCTAATACTCTACTTAATAAATTCACTTACTTCCCTTTTTCTGGCAAATGAATTCTCTGTCATGGCCACATTCTAAATCGTTCCATTGGCCGGGTTTTCCATTGGCTCTTCCAGAATAAATAATGAATTCCACGCAATCTTCCTAAATGGATGAAATAAATAAATTAAAACGGATGAATCAGTTTTATTAAATTAATCTACTTGTCAAAGAGACTACATTAAATATTGCGAAAATGTTTAAGACGGGAACGAACAAATGATTTATGATTTCCTTTTTTTAGTAGTAGAAGGATTAAATAATTGTAGAGCTCATGTCACAGAGTTTTAGTTAACTTGGCATTTAACCAAATTTATCAAGACAATGTATAGTTAGGTCATTTGACATAATAAAAATTTCCGAATTTTCCTGCTTTAGATTAAATAAATCAAAATAAATGGAAACGAATTTTTTTCCCTCAGGAAATGTATGCTGTTTTCGTAAACACAAGAAAATAAAATATATCTTAATGAGTACGAAGTGTTTCGTGACGTTTAAGTAAAAAACAAACAAAAACATAATCAAATTCTGATGAAAGAATACGTATCGATATTTGTGATAAGAATGTAAATTGTTTTTTAGACACCTAATCTTTCTCGATATTTTTTAACACTCTTATCATATCCGGGGAAACAAATTCTTTGTTGTGATTATACAACTACTTGATCTTACCTAAATCGGGTGGGGAGATTTTAAATCTGAAATTAGCTTTACTCTTGAAGCTACAGATTTTTTTCAGTGTCACATTTTTAGTTTATTATTGTCGAAATGTACAAGTTTCTAAACGTTATATGAAACAGGGGGTCGTGTAACTTTTTCGCCAAACTTCTAGGGGAGTTAGGACACATGCATTGGGTTAAAATTGTACAGTAATCCATGTCGTCGTACGTGGCTATAAAGGGAACTTCCCTATTACTACCTGCTCAGAGGCACACGAAGAAACAGTTTCTAATAGGGAAATGCCCTTAGAAGCGTATGACGACATACTCGAAAATGGGTTTCTATGGACCCCCTACTGTATATAAAGTGTTGAAACTTGTACATTTAAAAACAAAAATATATGAAATGTCATCTAAAAAATACCGTAGTTTGCAATTTAAACTGATTGCTGATTTCAAATCAATGATACGAAAGAATATAAAATCTGTTCGAAAATCTAATGCAACAGAAAATAAAAACAAATTGTTTAACAGTGTTATTTATACCTTTACTATTATTATAAACAAAGAACAAAAGTTTATCTAACGTTGATGAACAAAGTAAATGTTATTGGTTTCAAAAATAAAGAAATAGCTTTTTGCTGCATGTTAGTGTAGTGACTTCATTGCTATCTTTTATATGGATAAATAAAGTTTTTGTTTAATAATCATAAACTGAAATTAAAATATTTAAAAAAAATTCTGAAAGAAAAGCAAAACAATGGTAATTCAAGAAAAAAAAGTATCATACTATCATTTGCAGAAACAAGTTTTTTCAACAATTATTACGGCTCAAAGTTTTCAACTTCTTAAGAGTTTTAGATTTTTTAAGGTTTACTCTCCACTCAGTAAATAACAAAAGAAAAAAAGACTACTTGAACGAATTTCTTCACACGAAGTAAATAGTTAAAAGTAAGAAAAACATTAAAACCTTCTCAAGTCTGGGACCTGACGGCTCATCTGGCTCCCAATTCCAATAATCATAAGGCGTACCATCGTCCCATTTGTATTGAGATTCATTATCTCGGTCATTCAGTCCAATCCACAGTGTTTCTTTTACGTTCATTAGAAGAAAAGCTGTTAAAAAATCTAAAAATATAAATTAAAAACCAGTTTAAAGTTAAATTATTTGAAGCGATTACAATTCATTAAAAGAACGTATTTTAAAATATTACTTTGACTAAATTCTTACGCACTTAGAAATAAAATATTCTTAGTGCAAATAAGCGATTCTAAACCTGTTTAAGATTTTTAAGTCAGTGAATTGAGACTTTATCAATGCCATTGATACTTGAACATAATTCCGAATTTTTTAGATATAGATTTTTTTTGGTATTATTTATATTATTGAGGTACATATTAAAATAATTATTTGAAACTTGAATAGTTTCAGGAATTACAAAAATGGTTGACGATTTTGATAAACAATTAAAAAAGGAGTTCGATATGTGCAGATTGCACTCAAGGATCCACGATTTTTTTTTCTCTTTAAATTCTAAACTTAGTTACAAAGCTCGTCCATATATGGCGCTGCAAATTGTGCGAGATATAAAACAATTGTTTCAAAAATAATTGCAATCTGCCGCAACAATGGTTTAATATGCAGCAAAAGTAGCAAAACACAATGTTTCATAGTTTCTTTCAGCTAGCTGCACAATCTTTTGACAAACTTTTTCACTAAGTTCAAAGTTTCATGAAAAAATTGGTTCTCAAATAAAGCAGCGAAGTGAATATTTCTGTCTCCTTCTATTTTTCCTTAATTAGTTATTTAAAGTCGTCGTTAATTTTTCAGACATCCCATTCTGTTCCACACTATAAACATGTTTTCCTCGGAAACTATACATACCAAAGAAAACATAAATATAGAGAATTATAATAGTCCCTATACTAGTTTTGAAGGTTAATCTAATTTCTGTTTCGTTTTATGAGTTTCTGGTAATAAAATTTGCCGCAATATAGCTTTGGTTTTTCTACATCTTAATTTTTTTCAGACTTTCTAATGATCAGGCATTTTTGATTCTTATTAAAAAATTTAAAATGCGAGATATCTAGAAATTCTGACTTATATTGTAGAAAATTTAATTATTCATAACAGTTTGAAAACGAAGCGAAAATTAAATTATCAGCTTTTAAATTCTCTTTTAAATGCGATGGAAAAACACGATTTCCTAAAAAAAACGAAAAAACGTTCGTTGTAAGTCAACTCAAAATTATTCACTATAATTCATCCAAAAGTTCGAATAAAAGAATTTTTCAATATGTTATTTTAAAAATATTACGTAGCTCCTCCCCGGCTAGCTCCGCTCACCAGCCCCTTTAATTGCTTCTCATTCGTCATTGTTTATTTCTTCTTAAAAGTAAATATTTCTCATTAAAACGTGGAATATTTTTCTTTCAAAGTATACAATTATTGTAGCTTTAACTTTTTTAATCGCAACAGATAGATGATAATAATTATAATAGATAAGATTACAAATAGACGGCATAAATTTGAAAAATTACCTTCTGTACATTGAAACAAAATTAACCTAAGGAATACAGAGAATGAGACTCAAGAAGAAAAAAAATGTGAAGTAATTTTATTCGTTGAAGAGACTTAAAACAATTCAAATAGGAAATGGTGTTTACAGTTGTTAAGTTATTTTTTTTTTAAAAAAACTTCACTATGGATGTTAAGATTTATAGCTGGCAAAATGAAATCTCCCACACTTAAATTTGTAATGACTTTCGAACAAATAGGAGAAGGGTAAAAAAACTATTGTCAAAATTATAATACAAAATGGTCCTATTAGTACATCGAGTTTCGACTCAGTTGTTGCCTTTCAGTGGACATTCGATGAACCAACATGTTCTTTTTATTACAGGTTTAACAGTTAATAATTATCGAACTAAATATTGAATCCTAAATTTCTTTATTCCGCTTTACTCCCTATATGTTTTTCAACACATCTTACACGTAATTTCAAATTTCTAACTGTCGAAAATCTAACGTCGGCAGCATTTACGATTTTTAATTATGGCGAGATATTAAATTAATTTCATACTGTCCTGAAATGTTAATTTGATCTGTTTATGTAAAAAAAAAAAAAAAAATTCTGATCCCAGTTGAAATTTGAAACAAATTTATCTTAAAGCGTGATATTTAAACTTACTGACTAAAATTGTATTAATTCATAACGCTGTCGCATTCAAAATCAGATTTTAAAAAATTGTGCCATGTAATAATTATTTGTTATGGCTGTTAGTTTTATTCATTAGATTAATTTTTTTGAATCTATTAAATCTATTAATCATTTATTTAAATGCTGAAAAAAGCAAAATGAATAATTGTTGAAATCAGGTATCTAAATCATTTTTTTACTCCATAATATTTTATGTTCTTTCAGGTCTCTTGAAAAAAATATTATGAATAAAGTGTAACAAAAAATAATTTTACATCTTGAAACTTACCTAATTGTTCTTTCGAATGTATGGAAGCAAGCTTTCCACCGAGCTCTCTACAACGCTCAGATGCTCTCTCCCAGTTCAACCTCATTTCTTTAGTACCTCCGGTTCTGTAGCACTTATCCTCTTGAAAAAGCAATCATTGAATTATGCCAACAAACACAAAAGAATACAGCAAAAACAGCTTTTAATTCCTCAGAAGTAAAATTTTAACAATGATTTTTCATTGTTTTTCCGTTATTGATCTTAATAATAATAAAATTTTACTTATGTATTTAGAATGATTTTTTAAAACTTATTTAAAGTTGTTATATGCTAATTTCTATGCAAAAGTATTAATATTAAACTTTAAATATTTAAACATGCAGTCTATTTTCAAAAATCTTATTCAGAATGATTACACGGTGGATGGTTATTTAGAAATTATTCTTTCGAATGCTTGATCCAGGAGTTTCTTAGTTTTCTGGATAGAACTCAAAATTAGAAGGTTACATTGTTGAATATTGATAGCCTTTAACCCAAAAGTGGGTCTGCTGCTGAACGTCTGATATAAAATAAAATAAAGCACATGTTGAAAACACGTCACAGCGAAATCAACCGTAAAACGATTAGTTTCTAGTCTCATTGCTGCAATATGAGATGCTGTGCTATGCTTGGTTCCAATTAAGCTTCATTTGAAAGCCATTTCCACCACCGTTTTCCCCAATCTCTTCGAATTGAATAATAATCTTTTCGCAGTTTTTTCTCCGTGACGATGCAGTGACTACTGCCTTTTTAAACCTCTCTAAATCGCATTAATGTTCTATTTCGTAAACGAAAAACGCCATATATAAGTCGAAGCATGAAATTATACCATACAGAGTTTATCCCTATAGTCTATATTAGTTTACACAAAACATTTCGAACTTTCTATAGAAGTGGAATAAATATTATTCATTACTTTTTAAGAACTAGCAATTTGGTGATAACTTGAAATAAAGTGTTCTTTCATACAATATTTTGATTTCTTCAACGTCAAACTCAGAGAGATAGTGCACAGTAGTTTTTACGGTGTAGTAGTGTAGTTACCATAGCAGAAAAGAAAGAATGCAAGAAACGAGAAAAAATAATTGCGGTTTGTTTGAATTCAAAGGAAGTCGTTGAAAGATCCATAGTTAAATAGTTCTTAAAAGCAAGTTTTTAAGTATAAAAATCTTATAATTTTTGTTTTTCATAAAGATGAAGGCCCCTATCTTTACTCAACGGGGCCTCGGGCTGTAGTCCAAGTGACGTCACACCTTGTTTTAATCAAGCCTATGCCTAAATTTTGCCTTGTTTAAAATATCACAGTTTTAATTTGGCAGAAAAATTTACTGAAAAAGTTTAGAGACAATTTGTGCAAGAATGAGATATTAGAAATCAATTAAAATTTCCTCCTTATAATCGTAACTGTTATTGTTAAAATCTTTGCTTTCATTTGCTTGTTATTGAGGATCATACAGTAGTTCCTCACCTATAAGACGTGACGTCATGCCATGTTTTGACTTCAGCATCATGGTTGCCCAAAATGAGGGCAAAGGCCAAGTTTATGATCGGCGGTCATGAATCATACGCAGGTGCAGTAATATATAATAGAAAGGTAGTTAGCCATCATCTTCTTGATAATATTTTTTTTTAACTTGACATTGGATTTTTATTATTTTTTAAAAATATTTTCATTAATCCCTTCATTTTTTTATGATAAAAAATAAATTTATAGAAATCGACGTTAGGGTCAATGTCTGACCCACACGTCAAGGGTTCTCAACCAACAAGTATGTACCAAGTTTCTTCGATTTGTAACTAAAACCACTATGTCGAAAGTAAACTTTAAGATTTTAATATAATGTATTTTACCTGCTTTGGTTCAGTTTGTTCAACGTTCTTTCAATTCGGGATACACACAACATCATGTGGAAAAAAAAATAGTAAAAATCCTTACCAAAAGGAAACCATCCCTTGTCGCACGAAGTCTGTGCTTGTCTCTTTGAAATCACTTTTGAAGAATTTACTGACAGAGCTGCAATATCTAAAAATATCAGTTCAAGATCTTATTGATAAAAATGACTAGTCATTGCTTTTTGTTAATTTGCAATACGATTTTACTATTTTCTTTAGAACATATTTTTCAACACAATATGGAAAAGAACTCAAATAATCACACATAACTAATCATAGAAAAGAATTAGAAGTTTCAACCATACGACATTTCTAATTATTGTCCCAACATTTTTGGTGGACAAAAAATCCGATAGCATGATTCTCAACAAACAGATAATCTATACTGGCATTACATTACTGTAGCAACATTAAATCGCGGAAACTCAGTGTTAAAAACCCTAAGCTCTTATTGTGAATCTTTGTCATTGAGTGGGGTTCAATCCCTGGTATCGGTTTAAAGCCCATCTAGGTTCAAATCAATGGGTACCAGCCAGTGGCGTATCTAGGGTATGGCAAGTATGGCGAATGCCATGGGCGCATTATTTCAAAAAGGCGCAAAATCAATCAACATCAACGATTATTTTTTTAATTAAAAATTTTACTAATTTTTTTTTCAAGTTATGGCAGAATTAAAAAAAGCATCCAACATTTAAACTTTCCTCGAGGGCTCGAAAAGAAGACATCGAGGTCTTTCAAGGAACTCTTTTTATAACTGGGGGAGTGAAATATGAAAGGGAACCGCTAATAATAAAAACAAAGTAGGTGACGAGCGTTAAACAATTTTAACCTCCCACTGTTTTTCATTTTTTTAATAACTTCGTTTGAAAACTTATAGACCACCTCAGTTAGGGATAATAGGAGGGCCAAGGTTTCCAGCGCTTTTACATTACTCGAAAAGCGCGGGAAATCTAAGTTGTTATATTGGATTCAACATTAAAAAAAAATGGNTAAGTATTCATAATCATTCCAAACATTATAATTTACTTTTTGGACCGACAAGAGTACAATGTAGTGAAAAATATGTTAATTTTTTTTTTTAAATGTAACTTTTAAATTTATATTTCAGAAATATATATAGGAATTTCACCTTACTGTTACACTTTTATCAGAGTAATTAGTCTGAAATTATAGTAAAATTTTTCGATTTGTTGGATTAGTTAATATTCTTGACAAACTTATAGTTTATACCTTATCATTTGACATTTTACAATGTTTGAATCACTTTCGAAACTTATCTCCAAAAAGTTCCACGAGGTAATTAGCTAAACTTTTTTGTTGTCGTCTTCTTTGATGTTTCTTCTTTCGAAAGAACCTGCCCCATTTTGCCCGTATTGCAAAGGGGGACTAAATATACCGAAAAATAAAAATTATGTTTTTTTTCCTTCATATTTGTGAGTTTTTTTGTAATTAATTCGCGTTATTTTGTAATATTACTTCGGAAATATAATTTGCTTTTTATTTTTAATATAAAGTTACGAAAATTATTATATTTTTATTGCTATATTTAATTAGTTAAACGTACTATATTATTTTTCTCATTTTTCCTCGCCGTATTTCAGCCGCCATTTTGTTTTTATTTTTGGTATTTTTAGTGTATTTCAAAATTTTAACTATGAATTCAATTTACCTGCACATAAAAAATCCTAAATTTTGAAACAAATTTTATTGAAATACTAATTTTGGCCACGAAATCTTGGATGCTGGCCCATTGTGAGTTGTAAGGGTGACCATCGTACCATTGCTCATAAAATTGTGGAGTCTTAATCTTCATTATCTCTCCTTCCCGCAACAGGCTGTTGCGGGAAGGTTTTACTTTATTAACAATATTAATGCATTTTTCAAAATTTTTATTTTCCTAATAAAGATTGTGCAGTTAAGAGTTTGCAGATTTAAGAGGACGCTATACTGCGGGAGAAATTTATCATTGTAAATTGTCTTTGAACTTCATAAGTAATTTCAAATTTAAAGTATGGAAAGAATGAGTTCAGGTAGACCTAGAGCAAGCCATGAAGTTTCAAATGATGAAAAAAAAATTCAAAATATCAAAATTTAAACATAGTATGAGAGGATCACTTATTATATAATGGGGAAGCTCCCTTCCAAAAATTTGTTTACATTTTGATATTTAAATATTTTTTTAGCCATTGAAACTTCATGGCTTACTCTAGGTTTGCCTGAAAATTTTAAGTTAGTTATGGAGATAAAACAGAATTTGCGATGCAAAGTTTCTCCATTAGTATAGCGTTCGCTTAACGGTGTTTCATATGTGTATCTACAATTAGATATCTTTCGTTTACTTATTGAAAATACCCCTTTCTTCAATCTGATTTTCCATTTTGATAATATGAAAATTAACATAAATCAACACGAACAAAAAAATAAATAAATCGTGGATTCCAGTAGAAAAAGAAATACTCTTTCGAATGATCAAAAACAGTACCACAAAAATATTTAATAACACGCAGAATGTAAAAATTAATAGCAGTAAGGAGAAAACGGCTGGAACTTAAATATCAACTCAATATATAGAATTGCGCTTGAAAAAAATGGAATGAATGGTAAATGAAAAATTTTTTTTCTTCAAATTTTAAAGTCATACATGGAATAGTGTTCTAGAGCGCTTGATGTATGTATATCACGCTCCAAATAATGAAACTAGTCATAATTAATAATAACCGATGATAATAACCACATTTGTTATGCAGCATCCACAAGTCATTGTTAAAGCTTTTATGAAAGTTGGTAATTATTAGTAATGACCGGTTGATAAAATAAATTCTCACCAAATATTAATTTTAATCGACTTATTTGTTGGTTATTAATAATAACCAAATAATCACGTTTATGTCTATTCTCTGAATCCCGAAAAAAAAACTGACCTGATGTTCATTCCATAGACTGAAACTAAGATCATGTTGTAATTTTTATTACTTTTGACAGAATTTATTGGCATTATTAATAGAAATAATCGGTCAAGGGGATAAATTCTCATAACATATATAATTTAAGTGTTATATTTAGTTTTTGTTAATAATCATCGGTTGTTATAAATAATAACTGTTTAATCATATGACTGAAGTATATGCAAAATATGCGTTGTAGAGTTGAAAGGTTTGGGACACATTTGTTAACACTTAAAGGTTTTATTTCTTTTTTCTAAATGTAATCAAATTTATAGCAAATAATAAACTGATGTTCACGAAATGCTTTACAGATTCAAAAACAATTCAATTAAAATTTAAAAGAACTTTCAACATCAGTGTACGCTAATAAATAACATTTGTTTACCTGTTAATATTACTGACAGAAGGTAAAAACATGTAGCTATCATGCTTCGAAATAAAATTTGAAAAGGAAGTAAGGCTTCCTTCGGAAGTTGAAAAAAGATTTTAAGATTAACGCAAGCAATATCCGTTCTATAGAAAGATATTTGAAATAAAAACAATGAAAGAACCAAAACAAGTTTATTTTTGTCTTACAATACTTTAAAATTATAAAAGTAATGTTTATGAATGAAAATGAGAAGTAAATACAAGGTCAATATGAAATAACTATATGACTCTTCTGGTGAGCATGAGGTTCGAAAGAACGGAAATTTGTAACAAAGCGCTTAACTATGCGCTCAAAAGTTGGGTCGAAAACAACCAATTTGGAGTAATGGTTATAGAATTTAAAAATTTTCAAATGGCAACACATATTTTAAAAAAATGGCAACGTGTACTTTCATTTCAAATGGCAACAGGTAAATTTTTTTTTACTTTGCGATCTTCATTATACAAACTTCAAAACGAAGTGTGAGCAAGATTTTTAGCATAAATAGTGGCGGTGTTAGACAAAAGACGAAGAGAGAAAGATGAAACATATAAATTACTGTATTTTAACCTTTCTTCCTGTTTTATTTCATTTTAAGACTGGCGTTAAACAGCTGATGCCTTTTTGGGCTTAGGACTATCGAAGTCCAGAACGAAGGCTTGTAATTTTGAACCCAATCCAGAAGAAAAAAGAAGACCTGGTTCAAGCATTGGGACAAACTTGCTTTCGTGGTTGAGCTTTTGAGGAAACTAGCCCCCATATTTGTGTTACCAGGGATGGAAAACAGGAGAACTTCCCACGGTTAGCCTGCCGCATGGGAACGATCCTTATACTACTGAAGATAATTTACATCAGCCAATGCGAGCTGAGAGCAGAGTTTGTATCAACCAGCAAACCTGTGTCATCTCGTTGTTAGGAGAGCCCTCTATTTCCTGAAACATCGCGACTCTCCCCTCTTGTTGTCGTCAGGAACGCATTCAGTATAGTTGAATTATTGACAAGACGAAATATTATAATATACTCATTTTTTTTCATATCTGCCTAACGTAGCTAATACCCGCTTGCTAAAAGTATCATTCCAACTCAAGTTTACGTTTTTTTCTTTTTTTTAAATGAATTTTTTTTTACTGTGACGATAACGTTTTGATGAAAATAATTGGTTCCACCATTTAAAAATTTTGTGACCATGACCATCAACGCGAAGAATGAATAATTATTTCTATAATTATATTAATATAGTATTATTATTATATTATTATTATTATTATTATAGTATTATATTAACTATTTAATGACTAAACTCTATTCTTTAGTGCATGTGGAAAATTTTAATCCATTTTCTTTAATTGAATTTCCCCCAAGGGTTCAACTTTAGGTGCAGTTGCAATGAAATTTATTAAGTTTCACTTATATAATTTTGATTTAACTCTTTCAAAACACATTATAATGCAAGTTCATCAATGCAAATTCAACTCTCATTGACAAACGTTCTCATGGGCAAGCAAGTTTTCTGCTGTTCTTTATCGTTTTATTTATTATCCTTTCAAAAATTTAAGATGTTTTTAAGGTTTGTTTGAAGTGCTAAGGTTGATATGAGGTTTATTTGAGGTCATAAAGTTGATTTGAGGTTTATTTGAAGTTGACTTGGAATACATTTGTCAATCACAAAACAACCTCGAAAACGCCTTATTTTTTCGTAAGGTTAAGTATAAGTATACATTAAATGCTGTAGTTCTTAGTTGATTCTTTTTTCTGCTTGACACTTGAAGGAATAAATCTTTTAAAGCATTTCCATAAAATATTGTTGGATTTCAGTTCACATTTTCTTAAACGTCACTGGCAATCACAATCTCATTAGCTGATCTGTATTTGGGCATTTGATCTCGCAACGAAGGTTGTACAGGTACTCTAGATGCCTTCCTTGCTCGCTGTTCATTTTGGTAATGGCGGCAGAAATAGTAAATAACAACTCCCAGAAGAATACCAATAATCAGAACACAGAGTATAACACCAAATAAATCTTCTGTAGTGTATCTACCTACTGGAAATACGGAAGAAAAATGCGTTAATTCAATTCATTCTTCAAAATAATAAAAATGGAATTGTAACAAAAATTTTAAAAATTGGGTGTAACTTTTGTCTGTTCTTTTCAAGAAATAAGATTTCAGCAGAATTTACAAAAATTATTAAAACTTAGTAATGAGCACACTTCGTTACTCTTGTTAACTAATAATAATAAAAAAAATTCTTAATTTGAAAATGATTGTTTCTCATAAAGTTTTTAGTCAGTAATGGCACAAAAAGGTAAAATGCGTTTAATACTAAGCATCTTGCTCGTCACTTTAAAACGCAATTTAGAAAGGAAGAGTTTTTGATACGGTAACTGCACAAAAAGATCGAATACATGGAATACTAAGTACCTTATTCATAATTTTAAACACAATTTAGGAAGTAAGAGATTTTGAGTCTGTAACGGTACAAAAAGGAAGAATACGTGGAATACTAGAAATTTTATTCGTCAATTTTTAACACAATTTAGAATGCTAGAGCTTTTGAGTCAAATGATGAGACAAATATGCTTTGATTAAAATTATCCATGAAATAAGAACACTTTTAAAACGTACGTACTGGTGTCACGTAAATACTGATTGAGACCAAAACCAATAGATACGTGATATTGTGAGTAAAAACCTTAAACACTTTCACCTATGGGCCCGACTGCAATGAAATGACTTTTGAGGATGAGATTGCGATTATGATTTTATTATTTTTTTAAAAAAATAAATCATAATTAATGAACCACCCTGTTTAAAATCTACTCAATATTACTCCAAACAGTCAGCCAGCCAGCAGTTTCGATATTTTTTTCAAATAGGTGCTTTTTACTCAAGTCTTGAAGAATGCAGGAGGCGAAGTCACTTAGATATGATTTTAAAAAAAGCATAATTTCTTTTTTTAAAAAAAACTCACTGAAACTAGCAGACATACTTTTAAAATTTTTATTTTGTTTCGTAAGTATCAATTATTAATAAATAATGTAAATAATTTCAGCAATATTATTTGGGCAAATTTTTTTTATAAAATTAACCGAAAGAGGATAAGTAGATTTAATTAATATAAATTAGAAGCAAAGTTTTCAATAGATAATTAAGAAAAAAATCTTGTAGAGTAGCGTACTTACAAACACATAAAGGAACTCGAACTTCACTGTTTGCCGTCCTATTTGAGGAGACTACAAAATAAAAGTATTGAATTATGATTAAATAATATCTATTGCTCTAAGCTTTATAGTATTAAATTGTCCTCATAAGAACATTTATTTTCATTTTACAAAGGATAAATAAGGGAGTTTAAATTTTTTTTATAAAAAACGCATTAATTTATAAATAAGAGCACAAAATTTAAATTTTTCTTGTGTTATCACTTTCACTTGTTTGGAATAACACGATAACTGTAAACTAGCAAAATGCTAAATAAATAAATATATAGATAATATCATATAATTTGCCATTTCCTTGCAAAACAAATTAGAAAATTTCTGTGTTCGCATTTTTTCAAAGAAAAGAAGACTAGGAAACCTGTGGTTAGGAGCTGTGGTCCAACCCATATGTTCACATTTTTTAAAGGTAGGTAGGTACTTTATTTACGCCACACTAGAGTAGCACAATGGGCTATTGGCGACGGTATGGGAAAAATCCTGATGGTGATCCGAAGACGTGCCATCGCAATTTCGATCCGCTGCAGAGGGGATGGCTCCCCTGCTTCGGAAGCTACACGACATGCACGTGAAGTGGAGCACTTTACGGTAGAACAGTTTGAAAAGCACCGATACCGTGCACCCTCGGTCCCTACGCAGGCTGATCAAAGTGGTCACCCACCCGCTTACTGACAGCAGCCATTGATGCTTGACTTCGGTGCTCTACTGGGAATCGTGTCCTTATGATCAGTCCACTGCGGGGCCTTTTTTTAAAGGAAAAAAAAAGCTTAGGAAACCAGTGGCTAGGAGCTTCTTAGTCCAGCACATATGTTCACATTTTTTTTTACAGAAGAAAAGGCTCGGAGCATTAGTCCAACCCATATGTTCACACTTTTCTTAAGAAAAAAAGGCTAGGAAATATGGACTATGTAAATTACACGATTTTAATCAAGTCACGCTGGCAATCATCCAAGATTCTTCTGAAAAAGCAAGAAAAAAATCATTTTTTGAATGACTTTTTAAACTTTTCATAACTCTTTTTAAAACAAATTCCAAGTAAATTGAGTCTATTTCCGATTCATCTAAGTTTTCTTCATCTTGTTTAAAGTAATTTTAAAAAGCCCGTAACTTTATTTATTAAGTATTGGAATTAGTATAGTTTCATTTTATTATTATTTTCTAAGGATTTGTCTTAGTTAATTAATTTCATTGATAATAACTTTATTTATTAAGTATTGGAATTAGTATAGTTTAATTTAATTATTATTTTCTAAGGATTTGTCTTAGTTAATTAATTTCATTGATGAATTAAATATATTTTTACTAATCTAATTATTTTAATTTGACATAGTGAAACCCGTACATGCGTTTGGTAAATATTAAAAAGATTGAAAAGTTTATTTTAATCTTGCGTTCAATTCATGTATACACTTACTTTTCCGAACAGAACAAATGAAAGGTCTGTGATGATTGCAAAAATAGTTGTACCACTCCATGGTTTGAGGATTCACTTCACCACATTGTTCATTCTCAAAACTTGGCTCACCAATAGCCCATGCTGTGAAATTTAATGGTGATCCATCTGCCCATACAAATTCTTCCTCTGAAAAATGTAACACAAAGTAGCAAATATCTAATATTAAGCAATGGGCGGATTTAAGGGTGAAGGTGTAAAAAAACATTTTTTTAAAACTGTATTCTGAATACAGTTTGATTGTTCATAGAAATGAGAAAGTATTCATAAACTTTAAATCGCATTTATATTTACGAGCTCAAGTTTTTTTTACCATATTAAGTTGATACTATTAATTTCGCAGTACTCATGTAACGTAAGTTGTCGATATTCAGTTCACAAACTTTAAATCGCATTTAGTATATTCGCGAGCTCATGCTTTTAAACGGCATTAAGTCGAAGAAATTAGCATCTCTTACAAATTGAATCAAAAGTTCAGTTTTTAATATGCTTTGTTTTTTTAAATAAATAATCGGAAAGTTTTAATTTTCAGTTACGTTAATTATTTTTGAAACAATAACGGTGATTTATTGTCAAGTTAAAGGTACTTTAAAGTACCTTTGACGCAATCACAAATAAAAATGAAATGTAGCACTCTTGGACTCATGCAACTCATGTCTATCCGAAAAAGGTAAGCTGGATAATTAGTTAGCAAGTTAAATCCGGTTTTAATTTGCTAACTAATTATTTTGAGATAGTTTTCAAAATTCTGAGACAGTTGTGCTTGGAATACATATCCCTATATTAAGTTAGCATTGAATGTATCACCGTGTATTTCAAATAGCTCACATTTTATTACCGATAACGACTTTTAAAAAAAAGTTTTTTAACACTTGTTACATGTCCGGAGTCGGAGGAGATGCTAAGGATTAAGTCTAAAGTCTGGCAATTGCGAGATGATCTCTCTGATAAGTTGTTAGCAAATAAATCGAAGGCTCATCTTATGATTGCCAAACATTAATTCATAATTCATTTAAGTAAAATATTTGTCTAGATCTTCGTTGTTTTAGGGGCTAGTTTAACGATGTGATCATCTTGTTACAAGCACATTAAAAACTCTCGACTAATCATTTTATTGTTTTGTTATGGTTAATAGTTTATATCATAGCACGTTTGCATGGTATTAAATTACTTCGTTGTAAGGAAATCAAACTTGACTGATTAAAATATTGAAAAATGCAATATTAAAAAGAAGGAACTTATTAAAAAAAAACATTTTTAAAAATTAAAAAAATTAGAAATTTCTCGGAAAAAGTGTTTAAATAACAGTTTAAATAATTAATATTTTGCCATATTCATATAAAACAGTCAAATAACCATTAATAAGATGGTATTCAAACTGTTAACTGTGAGAAAACCGTTAATTGTTTTCACCTATATTTTCACCGTTTATTAACTGCACGCACCGACTAAGCCCATCTAATGAAGCGACTTAGTTTCTTGCATCTGGGTAGGGCTAAGCTGCGATTCTCATGACTTACAAAACCGAGGTTCGAGTCTAAGCATTGACGCCACAATATTTCCTCTTTTCATTCAACGCATGGAGAGTTTTCAGTGTCTTGCATTCTTTAATTGGCGACCCTGGCCTATTGAAATGAGAAAATATCATTCACGCATTGATGGCAGCAACACAGAGCTGATTAACACATAAGCTCAGTATTTTACATCTCCAACAATAGATGGATTAGACAAACTAATTAAGCCATATTTCACGGTTCACTCGACAAAACAATACTCAACCACAAAATAGCTCCAATACCCGTTATCTAACCAAAAGCCTAGTTCTATTATTCTGTTAATTTTCTTTTTTGCGATTTTGAAACTATACTGGTCGTAAATGGTTAAAAAACCACATAGTTTTTATTATTCATGATTTTTTAACCATACTAAGTGTAAACAGTTTCCAAACCGTAAAGGTAAAAGATTGTTCTTTGCCCTAAACTTAACGGTTAATTGGATGGACAGAGTGTTGTCGGTATTTTACCGTAACTTTAGAAGAAAAATTCTAACAGTGAAGCATGTTTACCGTATTGCATGTGTCGATAAAGTCCAATCCATGAATTGAATCGTGCTTTAGTGAAATGAATCATCAAGAACGGATGCAAAATATCCAGTACAGTTTGAGAATGAAAACTGGCCAGTGTACCACCTATTTAATGAAATAAAAATTAAAATATTAACCAAAAAGTACCTTAAGTATATTTTACTTGGAAAGGAAAACAAATTCTATCTATGCATACTTTTACTTGATTTTAAAGTATTTAATTTTTGAATTCCAAGTAACATTTGAACAGAATGAATTCGATAGTTCTCCAGGAATAAAACTTATAAAACATAAAGTTTTATTAATTTTATGGCTGAGGAACAATTAGATTGATTTCTTTTAAAATTTAAATTTTTTTCACTCGAAGGATGCTTCGTTTGTTTTTCTTTTGAGCACTGCTTATCTCTAAAAACTGTATTAATATGAAATTAAGTTTAAACTAAAGAGCATAGTTGAAAATCTTGGATAGGGAGAAAATTTATCGCTACTGTTGTCCCTGGGGTAAATATGCCCTTTAAAAGTTTTAGTTCCTTTACTTATAAAATAATAAAACCTTTTGACTCATTTGCGGTACAACTGTCAAACTATCCGCCTTCTAATTTAGAGATCGGGGATTAAAATCTCAGCAGAGACATTTCATTTATGCTTCTAAATTTCTGTTATAATAAGTTTGATAACTAGTATAATAATTTAGTATGAACTAATGCTTTAAATGTTCATATTTTACTCCAGGGGCCATAGAAGTGGTAAAATTTTTACCCTACCTAAGGTCTTTTACCATATATGTACATACATTTACCTTATTATTGAGATCTATGATTATAATCTAGGTTTCAGATATAATTGCTAAGTTCGTCGACTAATGTAGTTACTGTTTTTAAAAACTATATTGCAGCATTGCAGATCATATCGACTGAAGTATTTGCAAGGATATCTGTTAATTTTGTACTTAGTTATACGCTATTATTGAACTTGACGTTTTGACATTTGTTTTTATCATTGTTTTAGTTTTATTCAGCTTGAGGAGCCACTTGTTGACAAATTCGATAATTAACTTCACAAATTTAAGCAAATTAAATGAATAATTTTCTAAGTAAAACAAATATTACGATCTAATATGTTTCTGTTTTTCTTTCAATGACATTTTAATAAATCGTGTCGATCCATTTTGGTTAAAAAGGTTGTAACTTCGTCATGTTTAAGCGGATACAAGTATTTCTAATAGCAATTCAAGCATCTGAGTTCATATTCATTTTAACGAATTCTTTTACAACTGCAACCCATATGTTGATACAAATTGGTATTGAAATATACATTTTCTTTGTTGCTCAAATTATATACAATAAAATTACAAAAGAATATGCTTGTCGCAAAAAAAATCGCAACTTAATACAAACATTTTCATGCCATTTATTTTTAGCTATTAAAATTAGGCGTTACTTCTTACCTCGCCTCATGCATCTGAAATTAGCTTCATACCATGTGACATGGTTGGTATCAATATAGTAACAAAATTCACCTCCAAAATCTCTCCAACCGACGGGTTCATTGGGACAAATTAGCTCGTCATATGATGCCAAAGATGGTACAGTCTCTGAAACTAAAACATTGATCATGTTAGGAAATAATGCATGGCATATGAGTTTATTAAATGCCCCTTCCGAAAAATCTTATACGAAATAAACTAATGGAAGAAAAAAAATAGGAAGATTGTTATATTTTATACCAAGCCGCCTCAACCGACCAGCTAGTTCATTAACAGCTTCTTTATTCTGACTTGACGCTGCTATTTCCAGCAGCATTACTCTAAATGATTGGCTTTCACTTACAAGCTCTTGAATTAGAAGTGTGGTGGATCAGGAAATAGAGCGCTCGCGAATGGTGGTCGATATGAATTCTGCACCTGGTTTGCACTGACAGTAGTGCTGACGTGAAATATCCCCAGTGGTAGACCGATCATAGGTCAGATTCCCCTTGCTGTCGGGCTAACCATGGGAAGTTTATATGGTCTTCTTCTCCATATAGTGCAAATGCGTGTTGGGAAGATCAAAAAAGTCTTCCACGAAGACTAGTTTCTCCTAATGCGTGATCCAAGCTGTCCCTTGTCTTCTGGATTGGGTTCAAAATTACAAGGAAATGGAATTGAAAATCGATAGTTGTAAACTCATAATTGAGTTGGCTGTTCAACGCCGGCCTAAAATATAAAATAAAACTCTTGCGTTTAGAGCAGCGATTGTTCAGAAAATAAAGCGTTTGCCTCTGAATGAGGTGAACCAAATTGAAAACCCAACTTTGGCTAGTTGAGACGAATTCTGCTCCCGGTTCACATCGACCACAGTGATGACGTAAGATATCCTCAGTGGTAAATGGATGGCAATTTAATATCCCCTTGTTTTCTGGCTAACCATGGGAGTTTTTCCAGGTTTTTAGGGGTTAGGAGGGTTAGTTTCATCAAAAAGTCCCCCGTGAAGACTAGTTTGTCCCAGTACTTGATCTAGGAAACACCTTGGCTTTTAGGTTTAAAAAATGCAAGTCTTCGGAGTTGAACATTGATAGTCGTTAACTTAGAATTAGGTTGGTTGTTCAACACTGGTTATAAAAAATGAATAAAAACTCCTGGATTAATTACAAGGAAAACAATGCTTTGGAAAAAAATACCTGAATTATTAACTAATATTACGAAAGAAAATTACTTATTGAGTGATATCACGTCATCTTTTGTTATTTTAAAATAAATTCGAACCTAAAACTTTTATTGCAAGGGGGAAAAATGTGCCCGTAATGAATTGTGTGCTGTAAATTTTCTTATTATGAGTTATACATGATAAATTACCATATGAAGGAAAATGCGAAACGACTTAACGCTATACTAGGGAAAAAAAGTATTTTGCTCCATATATATATGTATGGAGCAAAAGTTGTTGATTTTAAGTTGTTTAGATCTAGTTCTATTTGTTAAGGTAAAAAGTTTTTTGTAATAGAATATTACTATATTTGATTTTTAGTTTGCTAAGGTAAAAACGTTTATCTTATATAATTACTGTATTTATAAATTAATTTAAAAGTATAAATTAATTTAAAAGTATAAATTAATTTAAAAGTATAATTTAAAAGTATAATTTAAAAGTATAATTCTTATAAATTAATTTAAAAGTAACATTTATTTAATATAATTATTGCAATTAATTTTAAATTCGTTAAGAAGAAAAGTTTCGCTAATAGATTTTCTATATTTGATTTTATATTTGATATGGAAAAAGCTCACTTTATAGAATTACTATATATTATTATTTATTTTTGAACGTTGCTTTTGCAAAAACATTACCTGTTGAAATTTCACAGATAAATGACATGCGTTCTCTGCAAGGTATTGTTGTCCACTTGTTTACTGTTCGAATAGCACAAGCTCCTTCTGAAAAATTTCCTGGTTCTTCCATCCAGTCGTTGAAAGAAACGTACCACCCTGAGGACCACTGTTGTTGAAGTTCATCCTAAAAGTTGAGTAAAAAAAACTTTAGAAATATAAAAATGGAAGAAAAAAATAATAATAATAAATTAGTTTTATTCTCTGAAGCAAAGTGACTTTGAAAATTTCAAATTTGAGAATTAACACCTTAGCATTCATTGAATTTATTTTTCTAATAATTTAAAAGCAATTTATTAGTAGTAATTTGCTTTCTCAAATTTTCTTATAGATTATTTGTATTTTTATTTTAATTTAAATTCAAATGCTTAACATTTTTTACCTTTTAACCGGTGTATACAACAATGATTAAGTTTCTTTACATTAAAAGCCATTAAGAATGAAAATACACAACGAAACTCATATTTAGTGCATACCTCACGCAGCCGTGCTAATCTAAGATTAAAAAATGAATTGAAAATAAATAGAAACTAAGATGTGAAAATTGAACCTTAAATTTTTTTCCAAGAGCGTACAGAAAATAAAAATTATTTTAATATGAATAAATAAATTTTACAATTTTTGTGAATATGTTTATCACAAATAGTTATTTATTTGTAACAGAATAAATTGATATAAAATTTTGTAGAACAAGTAAACTAAAGTTACACTTTTTGAATAAAATTTTTAGTTAGTTAAAAAATATAATGTAGAAATAAATTTTCACTGATAACATGTTATGTAAGGTTTTTCTAAAAGCGTTTTGGTTAAAAGATTTGAAATATTATTTAAAAATTTAAATCATTTTTATTATTTTTATTTTTTTCTTGCTACAAAAGAAATTCTACATTAAGAGAGGAAAAAGTATTTACTTCTGTTACAAATTTATTACGCCTCTTAATGATTTTATTCTTTAGTCTTCATAAATAAATATTGAAAAATTTTTAGTCTTCATAAATCCACTCTTTTAGAATAGTAGACGAGTTTTTCAAGACTACATGATTCAAAAATTTCTTCAACGAACTCTTCGAGCACTTCTTTTATTTGAGATATAAAAATTCCTAAAATCAACTTAATCAAAAAAATCAATAACACTTTAAAATTTCCTTTTAAAAACTAATTAACTAATATATGCACATGATTGCGAGATTCAAACTTGATCAGAAATACATACTTTGATTTTAATACCAATCCAAACATCTTCTGTGTAGTTTCGCAATATATATTGTATAAACAGATTAACTCTAAAATCCTTGATAGTCAACAAATGACCGTCATGTTTATCTATACAATATGCTTCAGCTTCCTGCCAACTCAATTTTTCAGAAACTACATGATAACAGGATATTCCCAGTCTCCATCCCCCAATACGTGAAGGACAAAACCTGGGATCTGTATGTTTCCTGATTTGTTTTCCTAAATAACAGAAATTAAATAAATAAAAAAAATCAATCCTCTCATCTTCTGTATACTGACATCAGTGTTGTAAAATTTTGATTAATAGATTCTTCAGAATCTCATGTGAATAAATATCATGGTCTTTGAAGTGAGTTATTTTGAAAATGTCTTTTTGTGAAAAAACCATCATTATTCTCAAACAAAAAAAAATGTAAAATGAAAGTTCACAATCCTTGTAATATTTTCTAAAACAGGATGTTCCATAATGACAGTAATGATTCATATTATAGCACAATTCTGACCAACTAGATGTACAATGCGTATGGCCTATAACGATCTATTCCAAGAAAAATTCTACATGTAACAGCTTCACGCACAGCAAATGAAACAAGCACCCTTTTTTTTTTAAATATTTTATATGTGGCCTTGCATGCAACTACTAACATCAAGATCATATTTTAAGAATCTTTGTAACGAATTAAGTACAAAAACTCAGCCAATTAAAGGTTGCAAATTAATATTTAAGTTAGAAAGTAATATATCCAAGCTTCCAAAAATCATAGTTAAAGACAATTTTGTACCAGAATTCTAATAATACAAGAATTCCCTGTATTTAAAAAGTTGAAGCCGGAAACAGGCCATCTCTACATTCCCTGTATTTAAAAAACTGAAACCAGAAACAGGCCATCTAACAGGTATATCATTATGTTGAAAGCGTGAAAAAAAATATTTTTTTTCATTTTGATTTGCTATCAATTAAAAGCAAATAGAAATTCAGATTTCAGCAGACATATGGTAGCAATTATATACGTTTTTTGTATTTAGTCTAATTTTAATGCAATTTTATTAGTAAATTTTAAATTCATAGCTCCGCTTTTAAATTTTATATTAGGTGTAGGAAGTATCATCAAATTTTAAAACCAGTTGTGATTATTACACTTGAAAATTGTTTTCGTTGTTATTGAATTTTGTTTGCGTCACAGTTTAGTCATGTAAACAGACGTGTTTATGTACACTTTATCATTAGAGAGGAGAGTCTGGCAGGTTATTGATGAAAAACTTTGTGAAAGAAGACATTTTGAATAAGAGCAAAATTTTTGGCTCTCTCCCGAAAATATGCTATAGTAAGTTATATGTATGGAATTGAATGATTTAATGAGGTGGTTGAAATGAGAAAGAGTCTTTCATAGGTGTCAAAGTGTTTCAATATTTTATAAAGCTGATGTTTTTAATTTCATTAAAATGTTACTTAAAATTTTCACCCTCTAACTTTTTCAAATATGACAAAAACAACAATGGCATCTAAATCAATCAATTTTGGGCATCTGATTTTTTTTTTCCTTTTGAAAAAATTTCATTACCTCAGTTTTTTTCTGGTTTAAAACAGCACGTTTTATTAGAATTTAATGTCACCAAATTACCTAGTCTTCTTACTTTTGTTTCTTTGGCAAATCAGCTCTCTTTCTTGTTCGCATTCCAAATCATTCCAATTTCCTGTTCTTCCGTCTGATCTTCCAGAAATATATACCATATTTACACAGTCTTCCTAACAATATAAATAAGTAAATAATTGTACTATTACACTTATTTATAATTATTTAATTGCGATTTAAGGCGTATCCCGGATTTTAGTTTTCAGACAAAATTTAATCAAATTCATATCAATACATTTATGCCATTTAATTACAGAATTATTTTAGTAGTTTTATTCGAACGTGGATAATTATGAAGACTGCTAAATCTTCATAATTAATGCATTAATATTCCAGCAATTTTCCATTTATACCAATGTTATAATTTGATCAAAAATTGAAAAATTTTCTTTCTTTGTTTATTTATTAAATTTATTTATCACCAATAATTTAGTCCTAAAATGAAAGAATTCATAAATTGTTCATTTGAACTGTTATTATTATTTAATTCTTATTAACTGGAAAAACTATTTCTTATTTATTTCTTGTTGACTCACGCAATTTGTATTCCTTAAATTGAAATTTTTTAAGTACAGTTGATTATTTTTTTTAAATCCATGTAATCATTCATTTTGTTACGAATAAGATATTAGCAGAGTGTTATTACATAGAATTACAATTATTATGTACTTTAACATTAAAGGTGATATTTTAGGCAAAAACAAAATTATTTTTATTTGTCGAAAATATCAATTTTTAAGGGGGGGGGACTATGATAAATGGGAATCATTCACAGGGGTTGGTAACCAAAGCTAACAAGGTTCAGACAAAGTAATTGTTTAAAAAATTCCAGCTTATTATTGTTGATAAATTTTAATTTTTTCATTTTGTAATGTTCTTTAAATTTCAACGAATTCAACTAATTAAATTAAAAACACACAAGTTTCCCATTTATTTGTTATAATATGTAGATGGAAATTAAAAACCTTTGGGTTACTGTGTCCCGATGGTTCACTGGGTTCCCAATTCGTGAAATCAACCTCTGTTCCATCATCCCATTTATATTCAGATTCTCTGTCTCTGTCATTAAGTCCAATCCATGAAGTGTATTGCACGTCCAGCAATACAAAAGCTGTTAAAAAATCTAAAAAGTAAAAATAAAAAACAGATTTGATTTTTGAAATTGCTGTTTAACATATTTATTCACTAAAATGCATAGCTTTCCTAAATATAATAAACTTTCTTAATGCAAAATGTACCGCAATAAATGTTCTAATTAGATGCTATGAAATGTGTCTAAAATATTTAAATGTGGGATCGGTTAAATAATATTTAAAGGAGAAAGGAACAGAAAGAATATCAGTTTCTGATTAATCAAGATCAAAGCCGAACAGAACAAAGGCGGGGTTAAGATCATCAAAAACTAGTTTATTTGTGGAATGGTTTAAGACTGATTTGCCATTCAATTATTGCAAATCATTAAGCGAGATCATCAATTTATTAAATGATTTCACTTTCCAGTCAATTCCTCAAATAAAATTGTTTTGAAGAATTTGTTCCTTCCATTGCTCTGATTGGCATCAATATTGATTGGTCGGAGTTTGATTATATTTATTTCACTTTTTAATTATGATTATTTTAGTCTAGTCTTTGGTCTGATTATCATCAATAGAGAATGATCAGATATTTGATTATGTTTCTTTTACTTATTATTGTTAATTAGTATAATTATATTCATTTCACTTTTTAATTATAATTTTTTTAGTCTAGCCTTTGGTCTGATTACCATCAATATCGAATGATCAGATATTTGATTGTGTTTTTTTTACTTATTATTATTAATTAGTATAATCTATAGTCTATTAATAAATATTGATTGCATTGTGTTTGATTATAATTCTTATACTTATTAATATTAATTAGTATTGTACAATCCATGCACTGATTGGCATCAATATTTATTGTTCAAAGTTCAATATTTCTTTCACTTCTTTATATTAACTTGCTAATTCTTGCGTAAATATTTGCACAGATCTTAACACTATACAGCATTGATCAGTACAGAAAAATACACAATATTGGTAATTTGTATGGACCAACATTATACACATTTTCCGAAAAAAAAAGATTCACAATGAAGTGGTTAAGAATGAAGAGACACACGTAAAAGGAATGGAAGTTAATATTTAGACAAGGACAACAAAAAACAATTTTTATCAAAATTTGACAAAATGAAGATAACAGGATGAAGCACATCAAAATAAATATAACGATAAACAACACTTTCTTATTCTCAATAAAACAGGTTTCGGAAAAAATCGGTAAACAATGGGTAAAAAAAATCGGCAAAACTCTTCTCCAAAATATTTTGCAGATTAAAAAATAAAGTTTAGAAATCTGTGAAATAAAATAATGAAATAAAGCTATAAAATAAAGCTATGAAGAAAAAAAAGGTACGATACAATACCTGAAAGTTCTTGTGAATGTATCGAAGCTAGTCTCCCACCAAGCTTCTTGCAATGTTGAGCTGCTTTTTCCCAGGTTAGTCTCATCTTCTTAGTACCTCCAGCCCTATAGCACCTATTTTCTTAAAATATAAACCAAATTTTTATCAAAAATTTCATGCATGGATGCATATATGTATATATAAATATATATCGTAATAAGGACAAAAAGGATAAAAAAACGAGAGATGAACGAAAAAATTAAGAAAAATAGTAATACGTTTTATTTGCTCCTCATAAGCTGTAAATACGCAGAACTTATAGAATAAAATTTAAAAAATATAGAGAAAACATGGAAAAAGAAGAAGAAAAAAATTAGTTGAACAAAATATTTTTGAAAAATTTAAAAAAGTTATAAGAAAAATTACAAATTAAAAAGCCGGAAACAAAATAAGAAAAAGATAATCTCGTCATCAGCTCACACGATTATATCCGCAAAAAATAGTGCTTCCTAATATTGTATTAATATAGCCAAAGCGAAGTACATCAAGGCTATATATATATATGCTGGAAAAACTATTTTTCTTATTTATTTCTTGTTGACTCACACAATTTGTATTCCTTAAATTGAATTTTTTTAAGTACAGTTGATTATTTTTTNATATATATATATACAAAATTAAAGGCTATCATTACGCAACATCATTTATTTCTTAATTTTTCACCATATTCGTTCTTGAGATTTCAAACTTCCCCAATAGGGCACGTGCAACTCTAAAGAAAGAAGTTCACTAATATCGGCTAGCTGTATATAAACAAGAAGAGAGTCAACGTCGCGTTTATTATATTGATTTATTATCATATTCAATCGATTTTCGGTTCAGTTTTAATCGGATATCTGAAAATGATTTCTCGCGTGGGTGTCGAACCTGATTGACTGCTGAATCGTGTCATAAAGAAATTCCACGATTCAGCAGCCAATCAGATTCAACACTCACGTGTGGCATCGTTTGGAGGTTTCCAATTCGGGAAAGATGTATTTTATTTTTGTTTTTCTTATCCTTTTTAAATGAGGTACTTTGAATACTAAAGCATGCTATTTTGAAGTACGATCTTTCACTGGCGTTGCTTAGGCCACTTTTAATTTAATACATCAACCATATTGAGAGCATTTAGTTTAGAGACTTATTGTTTGTTTGAAAATTTAGATTTACAGTTACACTTTATGTTTGCATGTATAAAAGGTTTCTATACTATGCAAGTTAAAAAAAAAAGCATGAAAAAAGTGGAAAAAAAAAGTATGGGGGTATCCCCAATATGGAGTAACTGAAGAGTCATAGTCACTTAAATGAACAACTTTCTTTATTTAAAACACGTTAATGTGCTATTTTCTTTCATTAAAACACGTTAATTTACTATTTTTCTGTTTATAACTCTAAGATAACTGATTTATGAGCGTAGTTAAAGGAGTTAATATTTAGTGATTTTGCTTTTAAATTTGAAATTGTGGAATAATTAAAACATGAAAAAAATTAAGAAACGTGATTGGTTAAGCTTTTATTACGGAGTCTTTTTTCTCTGATCACTAATGTAAAATCTAGACTTAGAAATCTAGACCTAGATAGGTAAAATAGCAATAATCTTTACCAAAAGGGTACCATCCTTTATCACATGATGTTTGTACTTGTCTCTTTGAAATCACTTTTGTAGAGTTAAGTCTTCTGAATGTCGACAAAGTTGCCGTCTCTGAAAATATAAATTTTCAGATGTGAGTATTTAAATGAATGTAACATTTTCATATGAATATCTCCTTTTCTGTTTAAAAATGATAAAACCTACCATAAATCTTCATTATTTATCCTATAGACACAAACAAGTTTAAAATGCAGGTTTTATCTTTTTAATTAAATCTTCGGCTCAAAGTTTCTTTCACAAAGCAATTAAAGCTGCAATTCAAAAATTTAGATAATATGAAAATTATTATTATTACTTTTTTGAATTGTTTACTTAAAATGATTGCATGACTGATTGGAGACTGCTTTCTCAAAACGTTAGATAACTTTTAACGTTACGATATGATAGCTTTTAATGAAATAAATTTTTTCGAGGCTTAAGAGCTAAACATTTTATTGGTTTAATTTGTACAATCTGAAAAAATTGATTTAAATATTATACAAAAAATGCGAACGTAAAGATGTTTCATTCTACTTAAAACATCTTATCTTAGCAATACTGAACAATAACCGTCAGATTTTGAACATACGGCAACTCTAAATTATAGATTTGATGTTAAAGGTTGGTTTTTCTGTCGCAATTTAAGTAACTTTCGATTTATATTCTAGAGCATTAGTTATACAATCGTACATTATTTTTTATAAACTTGAGATCATTGATCTTTTTTTTAACTTTTTTTTCATAAATAAGAAACAGATTCCGTGAGGAATGAAATCTTATCATTTTTACCCTGCAAAATCAATTAATTGAGGGGAAATAATGCAGTTTATTGGAATAAAAGCTGGATGTGATTATAATCTACCAAGTTGAAGGTAAAAAATACTTAAGACGGCGCTCATTGTTGGGAGTGAAATTAAACAATGTTAGAAACTATGTCTTACACCAAAAAACATAAGAACGAAAAGGGGAAGGGTCACTAGGATATCTTGGGACTGTCGGAGCCTGTGTTTATCTAAAGAAATTATACTGACTGAGGTATCATTGAGTAACAATTTTAATGCCCATAAGCAACTTTCAAAAGCAGTTTATTGACCATTTATTGAATAATTCAACCATACGCTTATAAAAATTTATTAATTTCAATTTTATATATAAACTATTTAATATTAGGACAGTTTATTAAAAAAAAATTGCATATCAACTATTAGATTTTATTTAATATATATATATATATATATATATATATATATACTAGCTGTACCCTGCGTGCGTTGCAACGCTTTCAGTTTGAATTTAAATTTTGTATTTAAGTGTGTAAATGAGATTTGTGATTATNTATATATATTATTACTATATATCTAAAGATAAAAATTTTATTAAATTTTTATTCAAAATTAAAGAACGCTTTTGTAACATTTTATTTCTAACTGAAAGATTTTGCTCTTCCTATATAAGCAAAGTATAGTGCAGATGGAAGATCTAATTGATGTAGGATACAAGATATGCAATAAAGAAGGATAATGCAAGTATACGAAAATATTGCAATTGTATAAAATAGTTTATGAACTAGCATGTAATCCAAATTTAAAATATTTTTAAATGAGCTAGACATCTCATTAATAAGCTAGCGTTTTGAAAATTCAAGTTTGTTTCTAAATTTTTATCAAAGTAATTTAAAATAAATTATTATTATTTAATTTCATAAAAGCTCTTTTTAATTAAATAAGCAATAAAAAATAATACAATTTTTTTTTTGCATCAGTGCCCTTGATGGATATTAATAAAAAAATCATTCTTTACCTGTTGATATCATTAAAATAAGAGAAAAACACGCAGCTATCATGTTCTTTACTAAAAATAAAAGGGAAATGTCTTTAGCTTAGGAAGTAGAAAAAGATTTTCTGAAGAAAACATCCGAAAAACATCCGCTCTTTAGAAAATGATCAAACAAGAAGCGAAAAGTTAATGTAGGTACCTAAGGCTGAATCTACAGTGTCAAATGTGTTCTATAGCTTCAAATGATAAAGACACTTTAAATTATGCGTTCTACAAAGTAAAAAAAATTAATGCTAAAATCTTTCTTTATGGGACCCTGTAATCGATAAGACAATTAATAAATGAAAGGAATAATCCCAAGAACCTGAAATATAAAGATATACCCATCAATGAGTAAAACTTCATTGTATTTTTCTCAGATTTCAAACGTATTAACAGATAAGGAATGTTTTTTTATTATCCACCGAAGGTAATGATGTATGAATTAAGTTTTTTATTTTTATTTTTTATTATTGCTTCATTCAAAAAATATGCTCTTTTTGAAGCTTGAAAATAATATATTATTTTAAATGGCCGAAATAAAAATTAAAAAAGAAAGTTAAATCTTAAAATAAAAACGACAATGTTTAGCTTACTTAATGAGATTCTGCATTCTGAGTAATTAGTTCAGCTTGATAAGAAAGCTCTAGATTGCATTTTATTGGTTCAATTGATACAGGCTACTCAATTGATGTGTTCATCATAATAAAAAAAAATTTCATGCAAATATCCCCATTTAAGTTTTTTTTAATTGTCATATTAAAATGCCTCTATATAGTTAATATGGTACATAAACGAAATGAATCATTCTAAGAAATTGAAGCATAAATATATACTTATCAATGGAAAAAAATTTCATTGGATTCAAATAAATTGAGGTGGACTGAGGTAGCAATAGATGATATATTGGATTCCTGTTGACGAGCTTCCATCACTTTTATTTCATTTGTCCGACATCAAGACTTCAATAATTCATCTATTGCCGCATATTATTTGAACCTTAGGCATTAATTCAACTTCGATTATGCTAAAATTCTTTTCACCCCTTCCGTTCCAGATTATCTTGATGCTCTGAAATCTTACTTTTTTGATATGAGTGTCAATTATTTTGCTAATCATATTAATTATCACTAAATCCTCCATTCTGCTTGGAAATGCATCTTGCCCTGATTTGCCTATTTTAAATATCATTCTACTCATATATTACGGCTTTTACTTTTTTTGTTTGTTTTTCCTCTTCATATTCTTTTTAATTGTTTCGTTGGTAACATTGCATTTCCTGCTTTGTTTTCATATTTCACGACCACATGTTGGTAGATTATGTTAATGGAGCGTTTGAAATATGTCAACTTTTTCATCTCAATTTTTTAAACTAATGAAGTTTTTCATGCTTTATAAATGTTCAATAATATAAAAAAGTAGCATCATGTTCTCGTCCGAGCTATAGTTTAACATTGTGCTATAATTGCAGAGCCATATTTTTGGTCATATATCTCATCAAATGTTTGATTCATGCCGAAAGTTTTCAGACTCACCTATTAGTTTTTCGCATTTGATTCTGGATCATCTGATTTCGCTTTGAGTAGGTCTAAATAGTTGTAAGATGCCACGTTATGAGACGTCAATCTAGATTGTCCTACAATTATAAACTTTTTACCTACAATTTATAAACAACATCTTCCAACACAAAAATACCAAAATAAATTGTCACAACTTAAATCTACTATTTTAAAATTTTTTAAGATTTAATTTTCTATCTCTGTATGTCTCTGTGCTTCTCAGTGGAGTGATTGTTAAGACATGGTTCCCAGCAGATCACTGAAGTCAAGCATCACTGGCTGCGGTCAGTGTGAGGGTGGGTGACCACTTGGATCAGTATGCGTAGGGACCGAGGTTGTGCGGTATTGGTCATCGTTAAACTGCTCTACCGTAAAGTGTTCGACCTCGCGTGCAGGTCGTCTGGCTACCGAAGCGGGGGTGCCATCCCCTCTGCAATGGATCAAAGGGGGTAATCAGCCTTAAATTGACAGTAATTCTAATGAAGCGTTTTTAATAAGATGGGAATCTCAAGTTTAAATCATGTGTTCATTAAGAAAAATTAAGAAAGTTTCATTTCGAAATTTGAAATTATTGGCCTTTAGCGGGAAATTAGTCTATTTGGCCGTAATTGTAAACAACGTTTTTACTAAGATAGAAACGTCGAATTTGGACCATGAGTTCTTTATGAGTTAAAAAAAACAATAAAAATTTTTATTTTGTTATTTTGGTAATTTTTGAGGTTATTAATCGTTAATTGGCCTAAAATTGATAGTAACTCTAAATGACACGTTTTTACCATGATGCAAGTCTCAAATTCAGACCATGTGTTCTTTATGAGGTTTATAGAAAAGCTAAGAAAGTTTTATTTTGATAATTGTAACTATCGGGGTTTATCGGGTAGTTAGGGAGTAATTAACAGAGTTTATGGGGGGAGGGTAATCATGCAGCAATTAACCGATTTAGCAGTCACGCTAAATAACGTTTTTACCGAGATAGAAGTCTCAAATTTGAATCATAAATTTGTTGTTGGATAAAAAACCCGGAAACGTTTCATTTCTATAGTGTAACTGTCGTGATTAATAAGGGTAATTAACAATGCTTAATAATACTTTTTAACCTAGTTAGAAGTTCCAAAGTAAGAACTCGATTTTCAGGAGACAAATAGAAAAGCTGTAAGAACTTCATTTTGATATTTTGAAAACTATTGGGAGATAATTAGCCAAAATGACAGTTTTGTTAAATACTTCCAATTAATTTATGTAATAGGTACAATTTGATATAAAAAAAGTTTTTTTCTGAAAAGCTAAATTATGGTAAATAGGTAGGTACTTATGGTCATCGCACTAGAGCTGCACAATGGGCTACTAGTGACGGTCTGGGAAACTTCCCTGAGGATGGTCCTAAGACGTATACCATCATAATTTTTGTGAGTCCACTCCCACAAGTTAGACATAGATCTGAAGGGGAGCTAAATTATGGGGAAAAGGTAGATTCTTATTCGTCTAGGAAAACCATAAATAATCGCCACATTCGCCATAAATAATCGCCGCCATTGAAGCCAATGATGCTTAACTAATTTTGTGTAGGCACTACTGATATTATGGTAATTTCACTTTATTTTATATTTTCAACCGTCGTTGAATAGCGGTCCCAATTTTATGGGTTTATGACTCCTAATGTTCAACTCCGCAGCCTTGTAATTTTGAACCCAATCCAGAAGACAGGGGAACTCCTGGATCGAGTATTGGGAGAAATTTGCCTTCGCGGAAGACTTTTTGATGGAGCTATCCCGTATTTGCTTTACATGGAGAGGAAGACCACGAGAACCTTCCACGACTAGCCTGATGGCAAGGGGACTCTAACACATGATCCCTCTACCACTGAGGATATTTCACTTCAGCACTGTGGTCGGTGCAAGCCGGATGCGGAATTCGTAGCGAATTCGTATTATGGTTATTGGGTTTTTTAATGGGCATTAAATATTAGGTATAAATTAGTGTCACGATAACTACTATAGATTTTGGGGAAATAGATTTTTTTACGGCCTACCCAAAGGGAGTTCAAAATTGTTCATTGTGGTAATTTCTTAATGTCAGATGTTGATCTTAAGAAATAGCAATTAGCAAATGATACTAAATTTAGTTAATATTTATTTTGATGGGAGGAACTTGTAAAGACATGATTTCCTCATTCAATGACAATTAATAAATAAAGCATCAAGTAATAAATAAAAAAATAATAAATAAAAAATTTAGAAATATATTAGCTATATTAACAGTGTTATCATAAATCTTTCAGTTTTGTTTATGATTTTGTTATGTTGTTCAGCACAGATTTATTGATTATTTACTTTTTATCTCCCCTTACGAAGAACTGGTATTCAGCTAGTTGTAAATAAATTCAATTTGAGGATAAAACTGCTAGATTCTGCTCGTAACAATCAGGTAACGATTGAGACTTTTACTTTCATGCGGTATAGATCTGCAGTTTAATTTTGAACCCTGTTACTAATTTGAAAGATATCGAAATTCCGATTAAAGATAACGACAGCTAATGGTGATACCAAATTTGTTTGCGGTGATACAGAAACGATTGAAACTTGTACTTTCATGTGTGCATAGATCTGAAGTTTAGTTTGGAATCCTTTATCTAATTTGAAAGCGGTCTAAATTCCGATTGAAGATAAATGCAGTTAACTGTGATACCAATTCAGTTTGAGGTGATGTAGAAACGATCGAAACTTGTATCCTTAGGACTCCACTTAAAATTTTATATCACTATTTAGTTGGACAATAATCAAAATTTTGATTGGAGATTAAATGGTGATAAAATAGCAGGGACCTCCAGAAAAAATATTTAAGCTTGTCACGGACTTTAACGAAATTTTCATTGCAAGATTTCAACCTCACAAGCACGAAAACGAGTATTAAAAACTTAGTGAATAAAATAAATTCTCCGAAAAATGTTTTCCCTAATAATTTAGAAAATGAAACCAAATTTTAAAGCAATCATTTAAAAAAAATTGTGTTTCTGAATTACAGTATAGACAAATTATATAAAACGATTGATAATGCTAAAAAAAACTAAGTAATTTGTATGTTCTAGGTCTAGCTTAATGAGAATACATTTCGTGCACAGATGTTACAAGAACTAAAAGACTGCAACCCAATTTTTTATTTTGTAATCTTAAGTACAACTTTATATAATTCGAACATGTAAAGGAAATATTAATAAGCATCGCAACAGTTTCAGTAAAAAAGTTGAAAATATTCATTTCGGTTTTTCGTAATTTTCATAATCATCATCTGTAATTACAATTCCTTTGTCCAAACTAGATTTATGTCTTCTTCGCAAGTGAGGAGGTAAGGATATTCTGGATGCCTTTCGTATTTGCTGTTTGACTTTGCCTTGGCGACTCAAGTAGTAAATGATAATTCCTAGCAGAAGTGAGACGAGCAGGATGCAGAAAACAACACCAAGAAGAACTTCAGTAGAAAATCCACCTAAAAATTAAATGTGAAGAAACCTTAGCAACTTTAACAGTCTCTTTGAAAAAACAGAAAAAAACTTTATCAAACTCGGTAGGAGATCCTTCGAAACAACACTCTAAGGTAGCGGTTTCAACTTTTTTCAGTTGTCCGGACCACCAATTTTAGTAGATCTATTACCCTCTAACTAATAAATATTCCAGTACAATATTTAATTTGGATTATATACATATAATAGCTGACAATAGAATTAAAAAAAATTATTAAAAAAAATTACTTTCTTATATTTGCTTAGCTGTTTGAACTGTAACAAAATAAAATAATTTAATAAAGCTATATAAACAGCAATTTTCTTATGTTTTCTTTGTGTTATACTGTAAGCTATTAAAATATGTTGAAATTCTTAAAGCATTTGTCAATCTCTACATTTTTAGAACTAATATCATTTGTTCAATTTCCTAACCAACTCTAATTTATTCAAAACTCGAACCTACTATATTTTTCTCTGTTTTGGATCATACTAATTTTTTATCAGTACTCGAACCTTCTATCATTTGAGCAGTTTTCGAACTTTTTATCATTTGAATAGCACTTGTAACTACTCTCTTTTTATCGGTACACGAACCCACTATTTTTTATTGGAACTCGAACAAACTATATTTTTTATCGTCATTCAACCAACTCTCTTTTTATCGTTATTCAAGCAATTCGAGTCGTTTGAACGCATTCAGCACTCGAACCAACTATTATTTGAACATTAATCAAACCCAATATAATTTGAACAGTTTTCTTACCTGCTCTTTTTTTATATATTCTAACACACTTCCGTCCCGCAGTGAACTGATCGTTAAGACGCGGTTCCCAGCAGATCACCGAAGTCAAGCATCACTGGCTGTGGTCAGTGTGCGGGTGGGTGACTACTTGGATCAGTCTGCGTAGGGACCAAGGGTGTGCGGTATTGGTCCTCGTTAAACTGTTCTACCGTAAAGTGCTCGACTTCGCGCGCAGGTCATCGAGCTACCGAAGCAGGGGTGCCATCCCCTCTGCAGAGGATCAAAATTGCGATGGCAAGTCTTCGGATCATCCTCAGGGATGTTTCCTAGACCATCGTCAATAGCCCATTGTGCAGCTCTACTGATAACCTCTTGGACTTGAGTCCTCCGCCCTAACAACCATGCTCTCCCAGCCTAATAGAAAAGTCAGTTTAATATATTATAAAGCAGTATACTTACATGTGCATGGAGGAGTTGCAATTTCATTGCCTGTTGATTTAATTGAAGAAACTATAAAATAAAATATAAGCAAATAAGAATTGTTTAATGCTAGAAGCTTGTTATATAAATTGAAATTAATTTTAAGACAAAACCAATAATTTTATTTCGTTTGTTAACATATATTTGGGAGAAAAATAATAATAATAATGTTATTAAATGTGTAACTTTTTTGTGTACAACGTATGCAATGAATTAATCAAAGTTTTTCATAATATACAATTTCACGTGCAGTTTTGATATTGCTTATGATTTTAATATCATATAATAACTATACATTAAGTAAATTCTTTGGTTATTATTGTTTTTATATTTGAATTTTTTGTGAGTTTTTCTTTAAATAAAACAAATTATTTACTAAATACTTTAATTTACATTAATACAGGAAAGCCAACTGCAGTGACATTTTTCTTACTGAGACAAACAGATGGTAAAAAAAATTTGTTATTTCAACCTCTAATAAATTGATAAAAATTGTGAAAACAAAATTTCTTCCATTGCATCGCTACATATTAAGACACTTTTCCCCCAAAAAACTAAACTTGCTTATTTTTCATTGCTGCATTTATGTAATTTACATCATTTCAGAAAGAAAGTTAACGATACCAATATAAAGAGTCAAATAATCTTAAAATTCATTTAAAAAAAATAATAATAGCTCCGAAGTGCAAATATTTATTTACTAAATACTTTAATTTACATTAATACAGGAAAGCCAACTGCAGTGATATTTTTCTTACTGAGACAAACAGATGGTAAAAAAATTTTGTTATTTCAACCTCTAATAAATTGATAAAATTGTGAAAACAAAATTTTTTCCATTGCATCGCTACATATTAAGACACTTTTCCCCCCAAAAACTAAACTTGCTTATTTTTCATTGCTGCATTTATGTAATTTACATCATTTCAGAAAGAAAGTTAACGATACCAATATAAAGAGTCAATTAATCTTAAAATTCATTTAAAAAAAATAATAATAGCTCCGAAGTGCAAATATTTATTTACTAAATACTTTAATTTACATTAATACAGGAAAGCCAACTGCAGTGACATTTTTCTTACAGAGACAAACAGATGGTAAAAAAATTTTGTTATTTCAACCTCTAATAAATTGATAAAATTGCGAAAACAAAATTTTTTCCATTGCATCGCTACATATTAAGACACTTTTCCCCAAAAAAACTAAACTTGCTTATTTTTCATTGCTGCATTTATGTAATTTACATCATTTCAGAAGGAAAGTTAACGATACCAATATAAAGAGTCAATTAATCTTAAAATTCATTTAAAAAAATAATAATGGCTCCGAAGTGAAAATATTTTTTAAAAAGTTTTTCAAGTGTCTATTGCTTGCTGCTAGTTAGAACATTTTTTCACATAAAAAGAAGAAAATACGCATATTTTTCACAGCTATTTTTTAAAAAAATTTATTACCAATACAAGGTGTATAATAGAATTTAAAAGAGTGACAAGAATAGTAACTATTCATGTCTAAAAAGCTTTCCGTATATCAATACATATTAGGATACTTTTTCACAAGAAAAAATCATTCTTATTTTTACTGCTTGTTTAATTAAAATTTCCACTCAGAACTAATATTCACGGTATCATTTTAAAACAAGCCACTTACAGGAATTCACTTGTATGCTTGAAGTCAAGGTAATGGCCAATTTCCATGCTATTTTTTTAATTGGCTTTGGTTTTAAAGTTAAAAGAAAGAAAAAAAAATTTCTTAGCTTCAGCTTTACTTAAAATTCAATATGAGAAAGAAACAAAATCATGTTTTATCTTTCGATCAAATTCAGATGAAACAGAATTTTTTTCCGTCTCTTTAAAGATAATTAATAAAATTATTTTTTATACTATAAAAGTGCTTAAAATGCAAACTCAAGGTTCTTAAGATTATTTTATCTAGGATCAGTTGATTACTCACACTGTCCTCAGGTCTTGATTTACTGATCTCTAGGCTCTGATCAACAATGTCCTCTAAAAGAGTCTACAAGTTTCAACTAACATCTATGGTTTTTAATTATAATATCAAAATATGATTTTCTAGGCAGCAATTAATTGTAGCCTTATCTAAAAGTACACCATATATCAAAATTAAATAAAAAATTTAATTTTGTTAAACTATGAAAAAAAATGTTAAAATTTAACTGAAAAGGCAAAAGTTGTTGGTGAGAATGTGGGGATTTATATTTATGGACTATCCATCATTGTTGACAAGTTCATATCACGTCCGCAGGATCAACTGTTTCATGCGGAAAATCCATCATGTTAGCGAGTTCAAATCACGTCTGCAGGTCACCAATGAGGGGAATTATAAATCACCATTGAATGGAATTAATTATCGACTTTGTCAACCTTCATCTGTCAAAAGGTACCTCATAATAGAATCAAGTTGACAAGTCTTATATGCTAGTGAATTGGTATTTAATATTTATAGTCCCAAGACAAAATTCTTGATGGGACCATCAAAATATTTTGATGGTTTATGTTGGTTTCTTGTTGGCCCAACACTACTTGATGGGAACCAACATCCAATAATTCCCATTATGCGATAATGGATTTTGATGGACCAACTAACTTCCAACATGTCATGTTGGAAGATGATATTTTACTATATGTTGGTGAACCAACTTGTTAAGTTTGAAATTCTTGGGCCAACAACTTCCAACATGTCATGTTGGAAGATGATATATTTTACTATATGTTGGTGGACCAACTTGTTACGTTTGAAATTCTTGGGCCAACCACTTCCAACATGTCATGTTGGAAGATGATATATTTTATTATATGTTGGTGGACCAACTTGTTATGTTTGAAATTCTTGGGCAAACAAGTTCCAACATGTCATGTTGGAAGATGATATATTTTATTATATGTTGGTCGACCAACTTGTTATGTTTGAAATTCTTGGGCAAACAAGTTCCAACATGTCATGTTGGAAGATGATATATTTTANATTCCTACCTTGGGATGTTGGGAAAGTTTGATGGTCACATCAAGCTGTATGATGGTTTTTGTTGGGAATTCAAGTTGGTTACCATCATATTTAAGTTGGTCCATCAATGGAAAACCATCTTGATTTTTTGTCTTGGGGTGGTAGTTAAGCCACGAGAATAATAAAAATGGTGGAGAAAACAAGACCAAAAGTACCTATCAAGGCATCTAGAGCCTTGTAAAATATCATTTGTAAGAATTATTATTTACTTAAAAAAGCACTTTTTATTAAGTTTATTTGAGGAAATAATAATTTTATGAAATAAAAACTGTTCCTTTAAAATGTTTTTCTTATTTTAAAATGTTTGCAGCAAAACTGACATTATAATGTAGATAGCTTTAAAAATAAAAAATATCTTTTTTCATATGTAACAATTACAAGTCGAAGGCCATGGGCACGTGCCTCGAAAGCTCTCCCGTCAGTCCAGGACAGTCCTACAGTTTAGCAACAATTCAGAGCCTCTTGGAATGGACTTAAAATGCAAAGTGTAGTGAAATATATGCAGTGAATAATATTATGTTGTAAAAGAAATGTTGAAAATACAACTACTTGCTTTTTCGAATGGAACAAATAGAAGGCCTGGGGTGGTTGCAAAAGTAGTCACCCCACGTCATCGATTCAACTTTTACATCAGCACATTGTTCTTTCTCACTATTTGGTTCATTAACTGCCCACGCTTTGAAATCCATTGGAGTTCCATCTACCCACACAAACTCTTCCTCTACAAAAAAAAAGTTATCTCAAAATACCTGCGATTATTTAACAGTGAATACTTTATATAATTATGCAAAAGTACGACATTATATAGTAATACTGGATGTTCCACAAATAAAAATATCAACGATTTAAAAAATTCATTTAAAAAAAACGATAGAAATGTACGATTTAGCGCATTTTGTTGACTAAATGAGATAAATTTTTCTTACCAAGTTTTAAAATTAATGACAAAGTTATTCAACAAGTGCACTGCTGACTGAAATAATTATAAAATACTATTTTGTAAGCCATAAGAGTGCTGTTGCATCCTGCAGGGCTGGGACTATTTCAATGACCTCAGGCAGACTGAAATCCCTAAGCAGTATTTCCAAAATTTTTTGCTGTAAATGCGCCGAAAATTTGAAAAGTGAAAGGGATACTAGTTACATTATTGCGTACGTAGGGGAGAATCAAATAGTATCTTACACTTCAACTTCTCTTGTAGTTCTCTCTTGTCTTCTTCTTGGGTTGTTCAGAGAGTAATTTCGTTTTTTTTTTTTTTTAGGGGCATGAAAGACAAATTTTACTAAATTATATTTAGCCATTCTGATCCAACACCTTTTGCCATCTTTCTGGTAGTAGCATGATTCCACTCTCCTAAAATTTTTGGTATTTGCTGGCAAAAAACTGATCCAGGTGATTTTTAACCTCTTCATTTGAAGTAAAGGTTTTACAGTCCAAGACATTTTACAGTGACCGGAACAAATCCGATCTGGAGAATATGGTGGGTGTGGCAGTGTATCCCATTCAAGCTGTGAAAGCTTTTGACAAGTGACCAAACTTGTATGAGGTCTCGCATTATCTTGGTGGAACACTATACCTTTTCTGTTGATTAATTCTGATCTTTTCTGTTGAAGTGCATCATTCAGTTTGTCCAGCTGACGACAGTAGACTTCCGAATTAATTGTTGTGCTATACGGTAAAAGCTCAAAACAATTATTCCATTAAAATCCCACCAAACATACAGTATCCCCTTTTTTTAATGGATATTGGATTTCGCAATGCTTTGAGCCGGTTCATCTTTTTTGCTTCATGACCTCTTGCGTTTGACATTGTCATAGACAATCCAATTTTCGTCCCCAGTAATGATGCACCTCTAAAATGGATCGTTTTCTTGACGTTTGAGAAGCGAATCACAGACGTCCACGCGACAACACAAACATTCGTGGCGGTTGAACAAGCATTTTTGATACATGTAGAAAAAAAATCTCTACGGTTTGCCCAACTGCAATAGGATTCTAACCCATGATCCGCCTAAAACTGAAGATATTTTATGCTAACACTTCAGTCAGTGCAAGCCGGAAGCAGAATTCTTATACTCCAGACATGACTGGTATTTGAACTTGGGTTACCTCATTGGAAGACGAATGCTCTATCTCCTGATCCATCACAGCTTTCTGATACTCATTGACCAGAATATTTATGAGCTTCATGCCGCCATTGAGAATCTAACCTCAATACTTCATAATAACAGCTCAATGCTTTAATTATTAGCTATCATGTCGCAGACTAAGAAACAAAAATGAGTACGAAACAATCATGGGAGTAGAGATTTAAAGAAAGCAGTGAATGGAGCCTCGAAGTAAAACAAAAAATTTAAATATACAGTTTTCAAACAGTGTAAAAATCACTTACCATGCAGCATGTGACGATGCAGTCCTATCCAAGGATAAATACGACTTTTAAGAAAGTGTATCATCAAGAAAGGCTGCAAAATATCCATTTCCATTTGTGAATGAAAACTAGCCAACGTACCACCTTTTTTCAAGAGAAAAATATATTAAATCATAAGCAAAAAAAACAAATTTAATTTAAAATAAAATTAAAAACTAATTTGATCAATTATAAGTTGATGTGATGTAAATTGCGATGTTTAAAAAAAACCAAAGATATTTATGATGTTTTTCATTTCATAGCAGAAATTTTTCTTTAAAATGTTTTTTTACGTAGCTCCGAAATTATTATATTTTAATTATTTTTGTGACTTTTTTAAAAAAAAAAATTGAGTTTAGTTTTCTTAAAAGCAACTTCATAATTATGGTCATATCAAATAGGAAATAGGCGGAACTTAGCAATTTGTTAGATTGCGTATTAAATAAATCCCTACCATAAAATATGTAGTATAAATAAATCTTCAATAAAATCTATAATATAAATAAGACGAAGGAATATTTTTTTTTCTCATTAATTATTAAAAATTAAATTGAAAAAATACATTAAGATAGTTGTTTTTTCATTTTTTTATTTTGGAAGCTTCTTTGTTTCTAGCAGAATGTCTCACAAATAAAATGCATAAAAATTATGATTCTTGGGTCAGAACGGGCATTATTAACCATTAATGTGGTTGCACAGTACACAAAATATAAATGTAAAGAAACTGGACAGCTAAATAACTTTTGATCGGATTTCTACGTACTCAGATGCAATCTTAACGTTTTTAGGAGCGACAATATTTATTAAGTTTCGAAATTTGGTGCTAAATCATATTTCTGGTAATAAACACACCTGTTTTCGTCAAATTTTGATTGTTATCCTCACACTAAAGAAAAGTAGCCGCTTTTTGGAAAAAAATGGACTTTTTTGTTTGTTTTAATAACAGAGATTGAGATGATATGAAAATTAGTATAACTCGCAATTTTTTGCTAGTAATTAAAATAAATAATGCAAAGTAATAAATATCTTATTACATTTCACTTGAAACTATCATTGGATAAAAGAGTTTAATAATTGGATGCAAAATGTTTTTGATTCGCTTAAAGAATTCCATAGCTATTAAATACGCAAAAGTAAAAATTGTTGCTTAAGAAACCATAATTTCTGCCACTGTCCTGACTATGAACTCTTGGGATCTTATTTTCCCAATTGTTGTTACCTCCCATAATTTTTGAAGGTCAATAATAATCCGAATAAAAAAGAATTCCCATGACCTATTCCCTTATGTCAGCTTCAATTTAAGTTTAATATGAAAAAAATCACAACTTCATTATTATAGATCCAAATTGTCTCGAGTATATCACGGTCAACAAGGTTTTGTTTCTTCAAAATAAAAAATAAAAATGTTTTTCAAATTTTTCTTTTTTACTGTGTGCTAATATTTTTTGAAAAAATAAACCGTCTTCAAACGAAGACACATGGGTACAAGAGTAGAATGACATTGACTTGAGTCTAGAAACTTCATTAACCGTAAAACATTTGACGAATGTTTTTTGTTAAAATTTAATTAAGAGCTTTAATGAAAAGTAGAAAAAAAAAACCCACCAAATTTGAGCCCAAAGTAACAAGGACAAATTATGAATTGTATTGGTGCTCCAGTTTCGTAATCGGTTACGGCATCGCTCACAAAGAAGGTTGAAGAGTTAAGGGCAGTGATTTTGATCCCTGGTGGATGACAAAAAAACCCGGCGTATACACACATCAAAATGCACGCTAAATCTGCTGTGACTGAAAGTCTTCTCTATGGTTGTGGTGGTGTAGAAGTTTGGAGTAAGGGATACCAGTCCACGTGCTGTCTACATCGTCTGCCAGAATTGGTGATGATGATAAATCCTGTTGGACTTATGTTTCTGAGCAGATTATTTATAGGACTTTAACAAGCAGCTAAAATCAGTTTTAATAATGACTTTAAACTCCTTTCCCATATCCAATTCTTTTTTTCAATTACGTGGGATAATAAAGTGGATAAAAATAAGTAATAAATATTTACACTTTACCTCTTCGTATACACCTGAAATTAGCTTCGTACCATGTAAGATGATCGGTGTTAATATAGTAGCAATATTCACCACCAAAATTTCTCCATCCGACTGGTTCTTCTGGACAAAACAATTCTTCAGACGACGACAGAGATGGTGCAGCCTCTGAAATTACAGCATTAATCATATTACAAAAATTTTCAGGGCATAAATAGAAATTTATTAGCTAACTATTTGCGTTACCTCACCGTTTCGAGGTTAACATTTAACGTTTAAACATTTAGTCAGGTGACGTCAAAGATGGTGCAGTTTCTGAAATTACATTGATAAACATGCTGTAAAGGTTGGCAAAGTATAATATTAACCATCTTATTGACCGTTTCCGTCGCCTCGCCGCTTTACGGTTAATAAAACATTTCATTAAATGACGTCAGAGATAGTTCAATATCAGAAATTACAACATTAATATTAATATAAGAGTTTACAAAACGTAAATATGAACTTATTAGTTGACTGTATTCATCCTCTTCTAGGTTAAAAAAATAAATCGTCAAAGACAGTGCAGGGAAATTCTAACTATGATCAAATTGCGAAAGCTTGCGTATCATTAATAAAAGCTTACTAGTTCGTAATATCCGTAACCTCGCTTCTACTGCGAATGAGTTCAGAAAGCTACGCTGGATGTGAGCTTCATAGCAAAATTTTTGTTATGAAAACCTGTGCTATCTTAAAATAATTCTACAAGTGTAAATATCAAAATAATTACTTGTTGCAGTTTCACAAACAAAAGGCAATCGTCTTTGGCAGGATGTTGTTCTCCATTGGTCTAAAGTTCGAAGAGCACACATTCCCTCCAGAAATTCTCCTGGTTCATCAGTCCAATTCGTGAAAGCTACGTACCAGCCTGAGGACCATTGTTGTTGAAATTCATTCTAATCAATCAAAAAACTTATAAAAACATTAAGACAATTAAACATCAAAGTTCCCTCAAAAATAAATTGGAAAGAAAACCCTTAAGAATGAATTAGCTTACTTGAAAATAAATACTTTAACGCAAATACTCGACACATAATTGAGAAAATTTTCGGTCATATGGGAAATCCTTTTATGCAAATACATTTTGTTAGTTATTGTACAAGGAGTGATCAAATGAAAAGGTACGAAACGACGTAAAAACGTAACAGTTAAATATTTACATATTTCGCCATGGGAGAACATAGCGAGACATCTAGGAATGCAATTGGAGTCTCTGACTGCGATCGGAGCATGTGCAGGCACCAGCATGGGCAGGAGAGAGCGGAGGCTCTTAGCGTCCAAATGATGCGGCAGCCCGTATGAGGACAGGACGGCGTTCTCGTTGCAAAATTCGAGGAGCAGAGAGGTGTTATCCGATTTCAAACAGCGAAAGACGCCTGCGCAGGTCCATCAAGAACAAAAGAACGGGATTGCTCACGGAGCGTGTGGTTCTACTCTATGATAGCGCGCGTTCACACGTCTCCAGAGTCACACGCATGGAACTGGCCAACTTCAAGTGGGAGACGTTGGAACATTCGCCCTACAGTCCGGACATGTCGCCTTGCGATTTCCATGTGTTTGGGCCACTGAAGAAACACCTGAAAGGGAAGAGCTTCAACTCGGATGACGTACTCAAGGACGCTGTGAAGGACTGGGCTCGTCACGGCCACAGGAATACCGGGAACAAGGAATCCTACGGCTTGTTCATCAGTGGGGATCGTTGGTGCTCAGGCCTATGGTGTATATTTTGAATAAAGTCTACATTTGTACCCACCGTGTCGTTTTGTACCTTTTCATTTGATCACCTCTTGTACATTGAAAATCATAACCATTATAAACATTTAGTAAAGAAATACATAGAAGAAAAGCATAAGGTAAAGATATATTTTATAGATATATTTTATATAATTAATATATAAAATATAATATATAAGATATAGATATATTTTGGAACAATTTTCGATAAATGATANGTGTCGTTTTGTACCTTTTCATTTGATCACCTCTTGTACATTGAAAATCATAACCATTATAAACATTTAGTAAAGAAATACATAGAAGAAAAGCATAAGGTAAAGAAACGCTCATTTGTTCATTTCCTAAATAGATATATTTTAGAATAATTTTCGATAAATGATAAGGATTCTGTAAAGCACCTCAATGCAGTGAATTGAAGTAATTGTAAATTGTAGAAATGAATCTAGATCAAATTAGGATATTTTTTTATGTATGTTGTTTTGAAAAAAAATTATGAAAGTCAGACAAGGGTCTGACTGCATTGGCTTATATGCAACTGATATGTAAAGAAGTGATCCTATTTATAAAGATTTGATTCAATTATTTCAAATTCTACAATATCTCTAATATTTGCAACTGTTTTTAAAAGTTTTGCTCACAACTGTTAATCATTCACATATAATCCTTTGGAGTTTTGCTGCAGTGTTGAGCAAAAATCGAGCTTGTTTTTACTTCAAGTGCAGGAATACAAACTTAATCGTGTATGTTTAAGAAAATACTTACTTTCATTTTAATGCCAATCCACATGTCTTCTGTGTAGTTTCTCAATATGTATTCAATGAACAAATTAACTGAAAAGTCGTTGATAGTCACCAAATGACCATTATGTGTCTCGATGCAGTAATCTTCTGCTTCCTGCCATGTCAATTTCTTTTCAATTACATGATAGCATGACGTTCTCAATCTCCAACCCCCTATTCGGGGAGGACAAAATCTAGGATCTGTAAATTTTCTTGCTTGGTTTCTTTCTAAAAGACGAAATAAGATTAATATTAATAATTTTTTTTGTAGTATGCCTGTTAAGGCAGTGGGGGTGCGATTGTTCCTGTTTTTCAGTAGCGCCATCTATGGTCAGGAATTCGATTTCCGTCACGCCATTCACACAACCACAACCCGTTTATAGGGAGGGTCACATTCACACACGAAGGAGAAAGGACATAGAACGCACAGAGAGAGAAAGTAACGTCCATGCCTTGCCCAGGATTCGAACCCTGGACCTTTCTGATGCAAGGACAGTTCCCTGCCCCCTACGCAGGCCAGTCGACAATATTAATAATAATAATAGTATAAGGGTTGTCAAATGTAAAGTGAACAAGTGTGATAGCACCAAAAATTTGACAGCTACACTGTTGGAATTTTCATTGTAAAATTGCGGTAAAAATAACAGACAGCAGTCTGTCCATTCAATTAATTAAAGAGTTTACAGTTCGGGACATTTCTTTCCTTTATATTTTTGAAACCGTTTACAACTGGGGCGGTCAAAAAACTATGATTACCATACCGTTTTATAATCATTTACTGCTAGCATGGTGTCCAAACCGTAAAAAGGAAAGTCAAATGGAGATAGACTTTAAATTATGTTAGGCTTTTCGTTAGTTGAAAGACAAAAAGAAAGCTGATGATAAAAAAGTGACAAAAAGAAAGTGATGAAGTCCGTATCATTTCCGGATGCATGAGCTTAGCAAGTCTTTTTGTTCACTTGAAATACTGTCATGTGAACTGATTAATCAGTTAATATGCAATCGAAGATATATTTCTCTTACCTCAAGTTATAAACTTGAAGTGTGGCGTTGATATCACTTCTGTATTTCTCACCTTTCCATACATGTCTACTTTTTGGGCAACCTCTATATAATAGGTTTTTTTTCTCCAAATAACAATACAAATACTAAATATCAACTTAGTTAAACGTCTACAATATGTAACTAGCATATGTTATCACTCAAACCATTAATATATTGACCCTGAATTGATAAGTTATTCACAGGTTTAACCTCATTTACGCACTATACTTTCTATATTTTAAACAAAGTTTTCGAGAATAAAAAGCATGGAAAAAAATCTGTGGCGGGGTCAATGATAAATCACATAAATCTTGCGCATTTTTACCATACGTTTATTAAAATTATTGTCCATTTTTTGGAAGCTATGGTATTATTAAGAACTATCTTCTTCACAGTAACCACTATAAGCTAATCGTACCAATTGCCTTTCATGACAGGGTGACTAAAAAAATTTTCATCATTTTTTTAAAAGGCACCTCCATCCATTTTCTGTATATTGTATTTAATCCATTATAATAGCATAAAAAATCAAGGTACAAGCTTTATTTTTATTTGAACGCCTTTACATTATTAAGAATTTTCTTGTAACACATATTCGTTCACATGAAAAAAAAACCACGTAATTCCACAATAAATTACTAGGAGCCTAATGATGAAACATCGTAAATGATTATAATTTGATACTTGTATAACTTAATAAATAATTTATTATCAAAAAAATGCCGTTTTTTAATGACATTCCAAATAATACCGAACGGAATATGTATTAACAGTATACTGTTAATATGTAATATAATAATCAATTCTAAGTACATATAATAATCAATACATGCCTATCTTTTTAATATTTACCACATTTTCATATTAAAACGTATACTTTTGACAAATTCAGGATACCAAAGAATCCAGTATTCTTACTTGTATTTTTCTGACAAATGAATTCCTTTTCATGGTAGCATTCATGGTCATTCCATTGACCAGGTTTTCCCAATGGTATATGTGGATATGTGTAATAAACAGATTCAACACAATCTTCCTAAATAAAACGAGAGAAATCGAATTCATGCAAACTAAATAACATAAAATTGTAACATATTCATTTGACCTTAAGAATAATAAGATGGAAAAAAATATTTGTTAAAAGATTTCCTTTTCAATAATACAAGTGATGTTTCACGATTCTGCAATTCATTTGATTGTTAGTTAAATTTGTAGTTTTTGGCTGAGTTATTTGTAGTTTTGGCAATATATTGATCCAATGCTAGAGTTATTGGCCCTTTTTTTACTAGAGTAAGGTTCTTTACTTTAAGCAATTTGAAGGAGAAAAAACAGAACATATCTTATCTTCAAAATAACGATAGACAAATTCTGTATTTATAACCGAATAAAAAATATATTCGAGATTAAATTTCTTCCAACTATATTGTATGTTGTTGTTTCTAAGCCACTTGATAAACACCAACAAGCCTGCTTGGTGAAACCAATCAAATTTAAGGCAGAGGATGCGTTTCTTGTTTCTCAGAGGCACCACCTATGGCCAAGAATCTCTATCTCTTCATCTTCAGTACCACATACATACTTCACGGTCCATTTTAAGGGGTGAACCTATTCATACATCCATTCATTCATCCACAGATCGTAACCTTGACCTGAACCACGGAACGACCAATCTCCAATTCAGTACTCCCAGAGGTAATGATTTGTAATAGGAACTTGGAGGACTTTGTGACCCTGAAGGTTTAACATGCCTCAGTGTCCATTTACTACACAGGGAGACTTTGGCCAACGGAATCGAACACACGACAACTTCATGGGCCCGATTCCCTACCAACCAGGCTATCTCGGCCCACTATTTTGTATAATTAAAATAATTATGATTTATAATTTAAAAATGTCTAAAAGTTTCTTATGGAACTAGTGCAACTAGACAACCATAATGTTAAAAAAAAAAATTTTTTTAATTAAATTAGTCGATTGTTGTAACATCAACACGATTCATTTCTAAATTTCATCCTTATATTTCTTCAAGCGCGTCTTTCATGTCCATGTTTTTAGTTCGAAGTTAGGCTTAAACAGAAAACAACAGTTAATACCAATGGACAGCATGCTTGTAACGTTGTTTTTCTAACATTAACTGAGCGCAACATAACGTGAAGATGCGTAGCATCTAAAATTAACACAAGCATGCTCAGTTGCTTCAAATCTTACTTACGGAAGCGAACGGGAGCTTACCGAAAAGTGCAAAATCTATTAAATATCTATTAATACAAAATACCTTTTTATCGATGCATAAGTTCTTTCACATTTTTTAACCATAATATAAGAAAAATCCTCTGCAATAAGGAAAAATGGACGAATCTCTTACGAAGACTATATTTAAATGCAATGATTATAATTTGAAGAAATTTAAAAACCTTTTCAACTTCAGCAGCACTAGGTTGGCCAGGCAACCAATTAATGAAATCTAATTCCGTACCATCTTCCCATTTGTAATGAGATTCAGTACCTCTATCGTTTAGTCCAATCCAGGCAGTGTGCTCTACATTCATCAGAATGAAGGCTGTTAAGAAGTCTAGAAATATAAATTAAAAGCATGTTTATAGTTAACATAAAATGGTTTTGTTTTTAAAAAAATAATTCCAAAATACTATTTTGAATAAATCATAGAAATAAAATATACGAAGCATTGATTCATGATTTTCATCATGAATCAATCTCTTCAAGAGAACATAAAAAAGTTTTCTTGATAATCTTTTGTAATATAATATCGTCGTAATTCAGGACACAACTGAAATGTTTGAAAGTTGATTTATCACAAAATGTTTTAACGTACCACGGAACATACTTGATAAAAATCTTTCGTTAATATTTTGTTCGATATCGTTTTGCTTGCTAAAATCAGAGATTTTTAATACATTCAAGACGAAATTATGCAGGGCAGCCTGGAAAGGAGGAGTTATTAGTTCAGGGGGCCACAGCACTCGTTTCGTGACGTCACACATTACGATTCATCAACGTTTATTAACTTTCTCTTTAGATTTTAAGTAATTTGAATGTTTTTCTAAACAGATTGCTTCATTCATAAAGTTTCAATTTTTATTTCAAAAATATTTATTTCAACGAAAATATAATTGTTGAATTCCTTTATAATTTTAAAAGAATAATTATTTAGTTATTTCCCGAATTTCTCTGCACTCTTTCTCAGGAAAAAAAAAACTTTTTTATCCATCTGCATATTTATAATTCAAAATATGGATCGTAAGATGAGTAAAAAAAATTAAATCTTAATACATTTAAATATTTCGACCATAAAAAAAATCAGATTTTTAAACAAAACAAATATCAAAATTTCTTTTTAAACAAACATCAGTTAACCTCAGAACTTGACTTGAGACGAATTACAAGTTATTTTTTTTCAATTTTTCACCTGCATGAATTACTTAACATTTGAAGTTTTCAGCTATTTTCTAACTACAGAATTAGAGTATACAAATTGTGGTTTAATATTAAATGTGCTAGAATTTAATTTATACTAAACATTATATAATTTTTTTACAAATACTTAAGTTTCATTTGCATCTTTAATTACCAAACATATAACATCATGAAACATAATGCAAATAAAATTATCATCCACAAGAAAAGTTGTAAACATCTGAATGCATAAAGAGCTAACTAGTTTATTTAATAAATATAATTGTGTTCTGTTCAAACATTTTAATTTTTAAATTTTTTTTATTGTAAATATTTCTTTTTTACACTTTACCATTATAAATCTAAAAAAATGAAATTGCAATATAGCTGAAATGTTGCTTATTAATAATATATTGCAAATTATACCTACTTCACTTTTATGAATAAACTATGATTCATTCAAGATAATATTTTTCACTAAATGTGAAGTTTTAAACTAATATAGTTGAAAAACTTTCAGATCGGAAACTACTCATAAAATTTATTTTAGTTTTTTACATTTTAATGAGAATTAATTTTTATAACTGAAATTGTTATTAAAATTAGTTATATTGTAAAAATATTTCATATTGTGCATTTAACAAAACGAGACTATAGCTTACCAATAGTGTTTAAAAGACATAAATTCACCAAAAGCTTAAGAATTATTAATGCAAACTTTATATATATATTTTAAAAAAAGATTTTTCTTAATATTTTCAAAAATATTTTATTTTAATATTTTTTTTTTCTTCTCTACTGACAACTCCTCCTTTCGAGGCGGCCATGTTAAGGGCACATCATCGGGATTAAAATTACATAGCAACCCATGCCCGAAAATGTCGACATACGCCTTTAGAGGCGCATTCTTTTAATGAACTGCTTCTTCGTGTGCTTCTGATTAAGTCATGATTGGGTAGCGCCACTTGCCGCGTACGGTGAAATTTTTGGGCGTGAGTTTTTATGCAATTTTGAACCTGATGACGTACCCTGACTCCATCAGACGTTTGTCGTAACATTTACGCGGTCCCCTGTTGTACAAAACGTCTTTAGTACATTTTGGCAAAAAATTGATTAAAAAATGTATATCTTTAGGTGCAAAACTAATTATAAATTTTAAATCTACTCACTCATATTAGGCAAGATAAAATATTTGCATAAATGCAACAAAATTTTGTTCCCCAGTATAATTATTTAAAAGTAAGACATAAATACGGATTACAGCAATTTTTACAAAATAAAAATTTTAAAATCTTGTTAATCAAAACAGTTTTGGTTGGTGCAGAACAATAGATTAAAATTCATTAATTTTAAGGATGAAGCAGCGAAGATAGGATTGCTAACAACAAAGCATGCATCAGATAACGAGCCCGTGCAACAAGTTTATTTTATTGTATGTCATAAGGAATGTAAAGCTTTCATTTAAACATTTTGAGCTCCATTCTTTAAATTGAATAAAAACATTTAAGAAAGCTTTAATGAAGCATTTTACCCGAAAGCTCCTTTGAGTGAATAGAAGCAAGCTTTCCACCAAGTTCTTTACAACGTTCTGATGCTCTGTCCCAGCTTAATTTCAATTCCTGAGTACCTCCGGTTCTGTAGCATTTATCCTCTTGAAAAAAAAAATAAATAAATAAATATATATATATATATAGCACACTAAAGACAGAAAGGAAAGGAGAAAAATGAAAATAAAATTATTTACTGTTGTACATAAGCTGCAAATATATAGAACTCATAAAATAAGTTAAAAATATAGAGAAAATATGGTAAAATAAAGATTAATGAAAAAACAAGAAAAAAATTATTAAAATTAATTATTATTAAAAGTATAAAAAAATTTTTCTTTATATTTTTTAATTAATATATTCTATTTTTGTTTAAATTCTCTTTTTAAGGGGGGGGGGCTTCTCACACTATTATATTGATATACAGTAGGGAACCGATTATCCGGAACGATCGGGACCATCGCTATTCCGGATAACTGATTTTTCCGGTTTTCTGAATCGCTACATAAAGCCGTTTTTTTATTGTTAAACCCAACTAAAAAAAAATAAATATTGGAAATAATCTTGAAAAGAAGAAAAAACGATGAAGTAATACACTAATAATTATTTCCAAAATTATGGTAAGGTAAACATCTTTAAAAAAAGAAAGAAAAATCCTATGAGGAAAAAAAAATTTTTTTTTTAAATAATGGTGGGAAAATGTATCGAATTTTGTTCCGGTTTTTCAGTTTTCCGGTTTTCTGATTTCCAGATAATGGGTACTGTACAGTATTTTGCTTTGGCTATATTAATACAATATCAGAAAGAACTTCATTTTGCTGATATAATCGTGTGAGCTGATGATGAGAGAGTACATCTTTTCCTCTTTTTGTTTTCCGGCTTTTTAATATTTTTAAATATATCTATACAAATCAGCCAGAAAAACTAACAGAGCAACAGGTGTGTCAGGTTTTGTACAAATCAAATTTTCACACAAAAAAGTTGAACAAAATAANACTTTTCTATGTTTCGGCAATATGTTGTTAGTTATTAACTTGTTTGAGTTCTAATGTTAGTTGAAGTGTAGTGTTTGGAAGAGAATACAGGATTCACATAAATTATTTCATAAAAGAAATAAATTATTTCATAAAAGAAAAACTAGGTTACTATTAGTAACCTAGTATTTCTCTTATTACTGTATAATGTAATTCTAGTAACTACTAATTCATTGTGCAATTTATATAAAGGTTTGTAATAAATAAGAGAAAATTATATTTTTATTTATTTAGAAGCTACGGGTTAGTTTCAAAGGAGGACGGGTACATTGTTGGACAAGCCGTCCTCGGGGACGGGTAAAATTTCAGAGTATTTTCGAACCCAACGCAACACCCTATGTAGTAGAGTGTTGTTTATATATAATGGATAAATAGCATATTTGTCATAAATGACTGGGGAATAATATTAATTAACATACATTAAATATAAAAAGATACCTAATGACAAAAATATTATTTTCACGCATTTTCAAAATTCTTACTAGCTTTACTAAGGAAAGGTAAACTAAATTCAAGGGTTCTAAAATTTCCAAAGTATTATTTTCTGTTTTTTTGGTTTGTTTTAATTTAATGATAAGAAATTCATATAATATTAAATGGTAAACTTAACTATAAAATTAAAAAATTGTCGTGCATTTAGTCCGTAAGTAAAATATCAAATTTCATTTTATAAAATTATTAGAAAAAAACTTAAATTTCTTTATACTTCGTAAAGCTAAAGGTTTAAAGCGTTATGCACCAAAATTACGAAATCTCTAATATTGAAATACAAAAGAATTGTTTATTATACTACTTTAAAGTTACTCTACTTTAATGAACCAGGAGGGTTCGTCTCTTATTCTCTTTGCTTACCACCCCCGTAACTGTTTCTGATTCATCTTCCGTTTTCCTTTCATTGTCAGCCTTTTCCATAAATAAAAGTCACGCAGTGGACTGATCGTTAAGACACGGTTCCCACCAGATCACCGAAGTCAAGCATCACTGGCTGCGGTCAGTGTGCGGGTGGGTGACCACTTGGATCATTCTGCGTAGGGACCGAGGGTGTGCGATATTGGTCCTCGTAAAACTGTTCTACCGTAAAGTGCTCGACTTCACGTGCAGGTCGTCGGGCTACCAAAGCAGGTGAGCCATCCCTTCCGCAGAGGATCAAAATTGTGATGGTATGTCTTCGGATCATCCTCAGGGATGTTTCCCAGACCGTCGCCAACAGCCAATCGTGCACCTCTAGTGCGACGTAAATGAACTACAACTACAACAACCATAAATAAAAAACCAAAATAAAGAGCATTTTTCAAACAAAATATACAATTATTGCAGTTTTATGTAAAAATATTTTGTCAAGAACTGAATCGTTACAAAATAAATGATTACTTGAGTTTGAAAAATAATCATGTGTACCTTTATCTAGCAAAATTATAATAATATAAAAAAAAAGTATTAATAATAATACTCACCAAAAGGATACCATCCCTTATCACATGACGCTCTTACTTGTCTCTTTGAAAACGCTTTTGAAGAATTGAAACTTTTATTAACTGTCAGAGCTGCGATGTCTGAAAAAAAAAATCCTTCGAATGAGCTAATTGTGAAATCTGCTCAATTTTCTGCTGAATTACAATAATAATGCAAAAAAGAAACTACATTTGTTTTTGACACTAGTTTCTTTTATTCTCTTTTTTGCTTCTCGTATCGTCTCAGTTCTGATAAATTGTGTCTGGACGGGGAAATAAACTGCATTAATAGTTGTAATCATTCATTTCAGAGATAAAACCAGTTATTTTGTGTCAAAAGGAGTTACTTTGTCCTTTTTTTCAATTTCTAGTTGAAATCCGCGTATGTACTTCTCAATCAGTTGGAGGAAGAAAATTATTCTCTAGGACTGTATGAGTTCTTATAGAGCTAGCTTATGGTGTTTAAAAAAGTATTTTCATTACTTTCTCTTTCAGTAAAAATTAAAATAAACCTAATGGGCAAAGCTAATTTGACAAACAGGAGAATTTTCATTCACTACAGATTTTCTATTGAAAAGTGCCTTTATACTGAAAACTAGCGCCAACTTCAACGTTGACTTTAATGGCGGGAAAGTAAGCAAGAATAAAATTAAGAACAGTTCGAAAAGAAAAAAAAAACATTATTGATTGTTTTATGAAATTTGTTTATAATCGAATTGTTAAATTCTCGTTTTAAAAATTTAGTAGATAAATATAAGCAAAGATGATGAAAGAAAGATAATGTGTATAAACTTCCATAATATGACTCATACTCTTTGTAAAAATCTTAAGCAGAGTTCTTCAAAAAATAATTTGCTTCGTCATTTTCTTTAGAGATGGATTTTTCAAAACATTTTCGGTCTGAAAAATTTTGAATTCAAACGTTTTTTGTTAATTATTATTGTTTAAGGAAATAGAATTACCTCATTTTATTATTGTTTCTTAGATATGAAACTTTCAACCAGTCATCGTCACAAACGGTTAGAAATTTTGTTTCCAATTCAAAGTTTGCTTTCCAAGAAATTTCACAACTGCAAAATCTCATGCTTGCAAGTTATGCAGCCTTTTATCAATGAGTAAATTTTGTTCCGTTTTCACCTTGGTTTCTTTATCAGAACTAGTTGAATCATAAGTAAAAATATCATAATTCTTTTTTCTTCTAGAGTCAATAATGTGTCCTTGTCATTTTGACACTCGATGACAGTTGTTAAGATTCGGAGGAAGTAGCCTTATTTTTCTAAGGATCATAAGGGTAACATTGCTCGTCAAAACAATATCATGAAATAAATTCAATGGTTATTGAATGCAACACTGCTGTGCGAATGAAAATACAACGTAAGTCCTTCACGATAGATTACGATAAAAGAAGCTTGACAACTTTTTTCTTTCTTGTTAAATTGTTAAATTCTCGTTCTCAAAATTTAGTCGATAAATGTAAGCAGAGATGAGGAAAGAAAGAGATTGAAAGAAAGCTAACACTATAAACACTAAAATAGAATTTCAGAAAACTGAAATTGTGATTCAGAAGGTGAAATTTCGCAAAAAATTATTTTTGCAACATGTAGATTAACATACCGGAATGACATCTATATATAAATCTCAATTTTGAATTTTTTGTCGCTTACGTTGATTTTTCTTTTGCACAGCAGAACACAAATTGAAACAACATGAAACTTAACTATCTCGCCCTACGTGCTTCACCGATTAAAGTTACTAAAGTACACAAATTACTTGCTTATTCTGTTATTTTACAAATCAATTAGTTTCACTCGGCTTAGCTATAACAAAATGAAAAAACTTCTTAACAACATTGACAACCCCTTTAACAATGAAAAAATAGTCCTGAATTTTGTAGAGCGCTCAAAGGCCTTTATCCCAATGTGCGTTAAGACGTGCAATAAATAAATAAATAATAAAATGTGCAATAAAACTAAAGGTGCAATAATAAATTCTTTTTCTTTCTTTCTTCCTTAAAAAAAATTGAAATAATTGAAATAAGCGTCATTTCTAGGACATAGATAAAAAATTTCTTCACTTAAAATAGAGTACAGATTTTTCTAACATACACTTAGGAACACAGATGCAACAATAACCATTCTAAGGTAAAACTGACAAGCAGGCGAAAAATCTGTGTTTAAATTTAAAAACTTCAAATTCTTTCTTAATTTTTTTTCAAAATCAGTATTACCCTACATAGCTCTACACGTATAACCCTAATTAAACCCTACATATGCTCACTACGGTACATAGAAAAGAAAACACACTATTTTCTAATAGCAAAAAATTTAAATTTTTAAATATAGAAGTTGTTCATATTAAATATCTTAATTCAAATTAATAAATAATAATTGCTTACCTTTAAATGATAATGAAAGCAGATACAAACATATAAATATCATGTTTCTCTATTAAAATAAAACGGAAGTTTATTTCCTTTTAAATTGAATTATCACTTTTGAGAATGAACCTGACAATATCCGCTTCATAAAGACGTAATCTTATATAAAATCAGTAAAGCAGTTTCATTTTCAGTTGCTAAAAAAATAGATGATATGACGATTAATATGCAAAGAAAATCCTGAAATTTCTACTGTTTTTGTCTTAAAATCGATAAAAATAAAGTAAATTATTAACTTCTGTGTTATAAAGGCATTTACCGGTATTATTTACATGTCATTCAATCTTAATATTATTCTTTGTTGTAATTAAATTTTAAAAATTTGGTTATCAGTCAAACCAAAAGCTTAAAGTTAATGTTCATTTATTTTATTGCTAAGTAATTGCATAATATTACCTTATTATGCATTATTTTATGATAAAGATATTTAGTCATCATTTTTCTATAATTAAATGGTAAATAAGTTGTATTTAATTTTTAATCAAGTAAATTTGCTATTAAAATGAATAAAAAAAACTACATTCGGTCAACGTATGCAATTGAAATATAGAATACAAAACAACTACTTAAAATTTTAAAACAGCATTTTGAATTAAAAACTTTTACCCTTTTGCGAAGTAATCTCTTTTCCAAAAATATTTAATGCTTTTTTTATAATGTCTAAAAATAAAATAGGAATTTAAAAGCTAAAATAGTATAGCTTTGGTAATTGAGAAAAATACTTAAGTTAAAATTTCATCGCTAAAGTATCGGGTACTATATCCAAAAAACTGAATCCGTGGCAATGTAACATTTTGAGATCTTTTAAGTGAATAATTATTAATTTATAAAGAGACTGTTAAGAGAAAAAAATTATTTCGATGCAGTCGGGGGGAGGTTAGGCTGAGCGAAGCTAGACAAAATGACGCTAATCAGCTGGCAAAAATTCACGTATTTTAAATGCTGTCGAAATGAATCAATTAGGTCATCCGATTGCAATGAAATGGTTTCAAGCATTTCATATGAATCAGTGTTATAATAAATAATCTGACAGAAATCAGTTTAAAATCCTAAATCGAATTAACGGTAAAGTGTGTCGGCATGTTTTTTATCTAATCAACATTCCGGTTTCTTTGACGAAACACAAAATGTTTTTTTTTTTATTATTTCATTGGAAATTCAAAATGAGGAAATTTTAAGTAATTCTTTTTTTTTGTTTTTGTTTTTAGGAGAGGTAATTTAGATTTTCAAATTTACTTTTATTATTTGAGATTTACTAATTTAAAAGGAAAAAGCTATAAATCATGGACGCTAGAATTTTAAATCAAGAAGTTATATATCAAAAGTTTTTATTTTAGACTTTAAAAAGTCGATTGACTTATATTGTTTACTAAATCCATATATTAAATAAAAAAAACTTTTTATTTTGAATTTAAAATGTCATCAAGGTGAATTTTAAGTTTTTATGTATCATATATTATTTTTAGATTGGATCGATGTCAACATCTGTCTCTTGGCAGATAAAAGAGATATGTTGAAATAGAAACTAATTTAACCACAACTGCACCACTTTTATTATATATATTTTAAATCTCGGTAAAAGATGAAATTTCACTACAATTTCTTTTACTACAAATTAAAATGTTTCTAAATAAAGAAATTTGCCAATAAAATTCTCTGGAGTCTAAAATATAACTGGGAAATTTCAATGTTCAAAGATTCAGTTTAGTTTGCAGTGCATGATGTGTACAGATCGATGTTTTACAATAACATTATTTGATGTCTTAACCATTAAACCATTCGATTTTTAGATATTTATTCGATATTAGATGCGACGTTTGAAAATTGGATTAGGAGCATACATTTGATACCATATAGCATATATTCGTTATTAGGAGGATGGAGTCAACTGTTTCTCTTGGTCTAAATTGAGGGAGTCCTGTCGTTCCTTCAACTCTACCCCTGAGCAAGGATTTCACCTTTGCTTCCAATGCAGCAGACAACCTCAGACGCAATTTATGTGTTACAGATAGATTTATTTGGAAATTATCCATACAATTTACTGCAACACAAAGGAGTAAGAAGGACAAGCAATTAATTAACAGGGAACAATAAACAATTAAAGTGAACAATATATAATATGACTGCTCTCCTCAGACTTTCAGTCGGGGGGAATTCTCGTGGTAGCAGGTAAGTAGCCCATTCTTGTCGTGGATACTTTCGCGTCCTATAATAGAGAACATTCCTCAGAGTTGAAAAACATTTCTATGCAAAAGGTTCTTAATTATAAAAATAAAACAATCTAGTACGTTTGTCTGTGTGGCACTTATTTGCAATCACAACGCTCTAATATCCCATCTGGGGAAAAGACCGGTTCCATGGCTTGACTCTTCCTTTTCCTCTTTTTCAACATTGAAGTAACTAATGTACAAAATACACATTAGAACCGGCAGAACCTCGCTGTTTTTTGTAGAAATGTAATTTGTTTTGTATACCAGTTTAGATAAGATTTGCTTTAACATTTAGATTAAAGCTTTGTCCCGCAGTGGACTGATCGTTAAGACACGGTTCCCATCAGATCACCGAAGTCAAGCATCAACTGGCTGCGGTCAGTGTGCGGGTGGGTGACCACTTGGATCAGTCTGCGTAGGGACCGAGGGTGTGCGGTATTGGTCCTCGTTAAACTGTGCTACCGTAAAGTGCTCGACTTCTCGTGCAGGTCGTCAGGCTACCGAAGCGGGGATGCCATCCCCTGTGCAGAGGATCAAAATTGTGATGGCATATCTTCGGATCATCCTCAGGGATGTTTCCCAGACCGTCGCCAATAGCCCATTGTGCAGCTCCAGTGTGATTAAATGAACAACAACAACAACAACAAGATTGAAGCTTTAAGTTGAAGTTTTATTTATAATTTTTAGGTATTATGAATTTTTAGTCGGCTGCTTTCAGTTGGACAAAAAGAAGCAGCCTAAAGCGCACCAAGTAAACAAACGAATCAACGATTTTGTTTCAAAATTATCAAACTTCATTCTGCTTGTACAAGACCAGTTTTTATTGCCTATGAGGTAAAATTAGAATTTATCAATGTTTGTATTAATTTATTTTTGTCTAATTGATATTCTATATCCAGTTTTCACTTTGTTAACACAGAAAAATCAAATTCTGTTCTTGGTAACTACTTAGGGATGCGATTTAATGAAAAGGAAATAGCATTTATTGCTGCTCAGCCTGGAGACAAAGAGGGTCGGTTACATTATCGAAGCCCAGGGTTTAGAGAAGGTATTTTATGATTTTATATAAAATTTTTCATTAGTTAATGTCAATCATTAAATGTCGTATTGTTATGGATGAAATTCAATGACAACGAATAATAACACACTTAACTGAACTTTGGCTTAAAATCTAATTAAATGCGTTCAGAATTTTTGTTTTATCTTTGGTCGGAAATAAAATATAATTTAGTTGACCGTGTTCGAATATGTGTTGAGGGAGACTATGACAGTTGTGACTGTGGAAATTTAACAGACTTAGATAAAATAAGAAACTTTCTGCAAAAACAAAATCTCAATTATAAGACTTACTGTCAGTAATTTATTGACTCCTGTTATCTGTTTCAACCCTTCATCACCACTTCTTAACGAAATTTGTTCAAAAACCATTGATTTCTGTGTTTTAAATAACAAAAAAATTTTTGCATTTTGAGCAAAACAGTATCTGCAAATAGTTTTAAGTTTTTCAGCAATATCTTTTGAATTTTGTGTTACAGGCACAAAAGCAAAGATTGAAGTTTGAGTTTCGGATCTTATGTTTGTTGTGTTTTTATTCTGATATATTTGATAATTTTGTCACAAAGTTCTTCACCCCCAAAAGAGCATTTCACTTTAAGTGCTAAATTTGGATAAATTCACTTTGAAAGATAATTTTTAAAAAAAATCTGAACTATGAAATGCACATGTTCTAGATATTTCATAATTTAACAAGACTTGTCAAAAGTTTATGTTTAAAATTCTGTGACGTCTCGGAAATTGATTAGAAAAGTAACAATGAGTCTGCTAGCTGAATGCTGAAAAACAACGTTCATCCCCCAAAAGAAAAACTAAATGCGTTGATGTATTTTAGTCACAACTTAGGTGTGACTGCATGAAGCGGAGAAGAAATTCTCCTCTTATCAGTAACTGCCAGGTAGGGAGCAGACAAAATAATTTTGACCTTTTTTTATAGATGTAATGAGTAATAAAATTTTTTTTTTCGAAGATGGTGACTCATTTTCTGTGAATATATTATGCATAACTGGAAGCAAACAAGAAGAGTTCAATGAATCTAAAGTATATTGAGTATTAGACAGACAAGCTGGATACACTCAAAAATTTTGTTCGAAAGCTTTTGTTTTATATCCTGAATCTAGTGAATTAATTGAAAAAAATAAGCAGTGAGAAAATAAAAAAGACGGACTAATCTTAATAACTTTTGATCTAATAATCGGATCTTCATGTTCTAGGCCTCAATTTTAATGGTTCTAGGTGATGACCTCAAACATGCTAATTAATTAGTGCAGAAAATATTTTAACTCAGGAAATCAGCAATTTATTTGAAATCTGAATATTTTAAGTCATAAATTTTGCAATTTAAGAACATAATTTCTCTGAATAAACATGCCTCTTTCTGACTAATTTGGATTTCTGACCCACAAAATTAGACAAAGAGTAGCGTTGATCGGAAAATATGGCCCAAGTAGTTTGGTCAGGAGAGCAATAAAAAGCTTGGACCCCTTAATTATACTTTTTACGTATTTTGCCATACCTGAAGAACTTTTAAGTAAATTGTACACAATTATAAAACTTGGTTATCCAAAAATAATTCCATACAATTATAACAACTAAAAATAATGAATTTTTATTAATTTAAATTTTTTTAAAATTTTATTTAATAACGAATGAAAAGCTTTTGAATTTTTAGTTCATAATAATTTTTATATCCTTTTAAAGAATGCAAATTTAAATGAAAGTACAAAATTTATGTGAAATCGATCAAATAGTTCCTGATTAATCAAATTTTGAAAAAGACATATTTTTATCATTCGTAAACTAAACATTCTAAATTAAGTATTCCTAAAC